ACTTTCCTAATAAGTCTGCCCATGCATCTAAATCGGAGAAGCCAGATATGAAATTTTTTTATGAGGAGTATCAAGAATTTTTGAAGTTCAAATCTAAAAAGTTTAATCGTCAGGGTCAATCCTCTTCAATGTCTGTTTCAACTGCATGCATTTATCAATCTGTGGAAGGTCAGAACCCATGAATTCTTGATTCAGGTGCCTCTAATCATATATCTAGTAATAGTTCATCGTTTTCCTTCATGCCCTATCCTAAAATTACTCACTTAATCACTGTAGCTAATGGATCCAAAGTGAAATCTCAAGGTGTTGCCCAAGTTCCTTTAACCCCATCTCTAAATTTAAATTCTGTTTTTTTTATTCCTAATAATGTTCATGAGGCACTTGATCACTTTGGATGGTGACCAACCATAATTAAAGAAATGCAGGTACTTGAGCACAATGGCACTTAAGAGCGTGTTCTTCTTCCTCCTGGCAAAAAGATTGTGGGTTGTAGGTGGTTCTATGCAGTTAAAGTTGATAATTATGGTAAAGTGGATCGTCTTAAAGCTCGTTTAGTAGATAAATACTACACTCAAATTTATGACCTCGACTAATGTGATACCTTCTCTCTAGTAGCTAAGATTTCCACCATTCGTCTTTTTCTTGCTATAGCTGCGATTCGTCATTGACCCCTTCACCAACTAGACATTAAAAATTTATTTCTTCATGGTAACCTTGAAGAAGAGATTTATATGGAGCAACCTCCTCACTGTGTTGCTCAGGAGGAGTCTAGTTTAGTGTGCAAGTTACACCGATCTCCTTATGGCTTAAAGCAGTCACCCCGAGCTTGGTCTGGAAAATTCAGTCATATTGTGCAGTTGTTTGGCATAAAAAAGAGTGAAGCAAACCACTCAGTATTTTATTGTCATTCCTCTTCAGGCAAGTGTGTATCTTATATATGGTTTATGTTGACAATATTGTTATTACAGACAATGATTATATTAAGATAAGCCAACTGAGCTCACTTCCAAACCAAAGATCTTAGTTAATTGAAATATTTTCTTAGTATTAAAGTGGCCCAGTCAAAGGAAGGTGTGATAATCTCTCAAAGGAAGTATGTTCTTTATATTCTGAAGGAGACTGGTCTAACAAATTCTAAGCCCATTAATACCCCAATGGATCCTAACTAGAAATTGATGAAGGATGAAGAAGAAAAGTTGTCAGATCCAGAAAGATATAGGAGGTTGGTTGATAAACTCATTTATCTTACTATTACCAAACCAAATCTTTCTTATGCCGTTGAAGTAGTTAGTCAATTCATGCAAAATCATTGTGTTGATCACTGAGATGTTAGAATTATAGGCTGAGATCAAAAGGGAGAGTGAATTGATCTTTGAAAACTTTTTCGCACTTTACAGATACAGATTAACAATTTCAAAGATTAAGAAATCATATTAAGAATTGAATCCAGAAAACAAGTCAGAAATGAATAATGTTCAAACAGATTTAAAGAAGATGAAAGAGGGCAAAAAGAAACACTAAGAATTATACTGGTTCACCCTCACTACTAGGTTATGTCCAGTTCTCAATCAAATTCCAATTGAGTTCCATTAGATTGAATTGAATTTGTTTTGAATATAGAACAAAATTACAAAACACTCACCCTGCATCAAGAACCAAATTTCAGTTCTTAAACCCAACCTGCAACCAAATTCCAGTTGCAGAAATAGTGTCCAACCTTCCAGACACTAAGACTAAACATATTCAAAATAGAAAAGAAAAAATGAAGAAACTAGAACAATCAAACCTGATTATACAGATGCAGAAATCTCACTGCAGTATGAGTTTCTTCACAAGTAAGAATACAAAAATGTCTCATAAAAGAAGTTAAAAAATTCCCGATGAAAATAGTGTGTTTCTCTCTTGAAAAGATCTCTATTGATTGCTTGAATGATTTCTACAAGATGTGTTTTAAAGTGTTGAATCAAATTTGTATATATAGAGACTTTTTCTAACAAACTGGTTTAATTAAGTGGTTAATTCGTCTTTTAATCAATTCAAAAATCTTGATTCTAATTGTTTTAACCAATTAAAATATCTTTTAATCGATTAAAATATTCTACAAATTTAAAAAAAATTAAGCTGATACAAATACGATTTAATCGATTAAAGCAATTATACAAATTTTTTTAAAAGATTTTAATCGATTAATTCATATTTTAATTGATTATAACATAGGAAAAATATTTTCAAACACTTTTAAAATGATTTTAACTGATAAAAACGTGATTTAATTGATTAAAATATTTAAACAGAAATTTCTTAAGTGATTTTAATCGATTAATTCGAAGTTTAATCAATTAATAAACTGACAAAACATTTTTAAATCATCTTAAGTGTTTTTAATCGATAAAAACTTGATTTAAACGATTAAAACATTTAACCAAAAACTCTTTAAGTGATTTTAATCGATTAATTCAAGGTTTAATCGATTAAAATACTCGACAAAACATTTTCTAAAACTTTCTTAAGTGTTTTTAATAGATTAAATTAAAGATATACTAGTTGAAACGACAACAATATATGCTTTAAGTGGTTTCAATCAATTATTTCAAAAATATATCTGTTAAAAATATGTCAGAAATGTTTTTAGCTAATTTTAATTAATATATATATATATATATATATATATATATATATATATATATATATCAGTTAATTCGGAGACTCAAGAGCATGTTAACCGAAAACAATTTTTAACATATTAAAATGATTAGAGACATTTTTATTTCTTTCAATTGATGAAACCTCGTGTTGTAGAAATGGATAGGAGATTATACCTACATAATATGGATGTAGACTCACTAAACACTATAACTCTTAACCCATAAATTCTTTGACTTTATCAAATTGAAAAGATCTTCAATCTTTATCATAGGATGCCTTGATTCACATTCTGAGATATATTAAAGGGGCCCTAGAACAAGGGTTGTTATACGAAGATAAAAGTAATACTCAAATTCTTGGTTATTGTGATACAGACTGTGCTGATTGTCCAATTGATAGAATATCGACTACTGGATATTGTATCTTTATTGGAGGAAATTTGATTTCTTAGAAGAGTAAAAAACAAAGTATTGTTGCTCGATCTAGTGCAGAAGCTTAGTATAGATATATGACACTTGCTATATTTGAACTTGTATGGATCAAACAACTCCTTCAAGATTTAAAATTTTGTGATATTAGGCAAATGAAGTTATTGTGTGATAATCAAGCAGCTCTCTATATTGCTCACAACCCAGTCTTTCATGAGAGAACACAACATATTGATTGTCATTTTGTTAGAGAGAAGTTGTTGTCTAAGGAACTTGTAACTGAATTTGTAAGCTCCAGTGAGCAACTAAGAAATATTTTAACTAAATCCTTAAAATGATATAGGATTCAATTCATTTGTTCCAAGCTTGGTACATATAATTTGTATGCTCCAGCTTGAAGGAGAGTGTTGAGATATGTTGTTTATGTATCTTTTATATTCTTTTTCAATGTTCTTTAGATTATGGTTAAGGATTTAGACTGAGACTCATATCTTCTTTATTGTACTTTTTATATATATATAAATATAATGTATCAATGTCTTTGGTCACCACATCAAACCCTAAATAAGTTTTTTCAAGTGGTATTACAACTAATAATAAGTTGTTTAGTTTGTTTTACCGGATATTTTTTCATAAGTGTTTATTAGTATATAAATCTTCTTCTTTGTAGTTTTTTTAAATAATAAGAAATTTGTTTTATTAATCTTATTAAATCCATTTAATAAGTATTGAAATAATTTTTGTACAAGATGATAGATAATTTATATAATTCTAACAAAAATCTAAATATTTTTAAAAACACAACTAACAATCAAACATATTTTAATCTTTGATGAATCTAGATAAAAATATAGTTCTTCCTTCAAAATCCATCTTAATAAAACTTGAAGAATCTTACTAGAAATTTGATTGTAAACTCAATCCATTGGTAACAATTCAATCGCAAATTTTATGAATATTATATGGGTTATTTAATTAGGTAAACTTTTCTATAAATACTATTAAAAGAAAAAAATTATAAAGAATTTTTTTTATGAATGAAAATTAAGTTATGCATAAAATAATGGTAAAAGTCTCTATAATTTTTCTAAATTATGATTTTTAATTTTCGTATAAATTAAATTAAAATTATGAAAAAAAAATATTTTTCTTATTTTTTTCTGCATTCATGGAAAAATGTTCCTAAGCATGCCACCTTAATTCTTATGGTCGAGTTTGAAGTTTATTCATTTAATAAATGTAAATGTACTTAGAATATTATGGTCTTTATTGTAAATTTAAAATATGTTTTATTTTTTCCCATCAATTGTTTCTTTGAATACAATAAGTAGAAGGTCAAATTCCTAACTGCTTCCGTCGTGTCTTGTTTTCCGTTGCTTTCTTTTCTTCTAACGTCCTAATCATCACAATTATATAAAGCAGATGCAAATAAGTATGGTTAAATATTGTATTTTTTACAGTATAAAAAAGCATTATATATTTATCAAATATCTTTCATCATTCATTCCATAATGGACATAGGATAAATAATATATTTATACAAAAAGAAAAAAAGTGATAAAATAAAAGAGTGAAATACGTGATAAAATGAGCGGTGTGGAGTAAAAAATTAAAAAACAATGCATAATTGTAAATAATAGTACTGTTTCTCATATCATTTTGCTTCCTAAGAAGCAGTTTATAATACATGAATGGCTACTAATCAAGCTTTAGCAAAATGCTAAATAATTGAACACATTTGGTTGGAAGATGCTGTTATCTCTCACTCATCCATTACAAGTTGAAAACGTTAAAGAAGCGATACAAAGATGATATTTATATATATAGAATAATAGCCACAAATCCACACGATCCAGTAGTTTACATTGGTAATATATAACTTATTAAAAATGAAACCCGAGGAAGAAATAATCAATTCTAGAAAATCTATGTAGTTGGTGTATAAAATAAAATGCTATTCATATTATAATCTTTGGCGTTTACTTCTTTCCATTCCTTCTTTCTTGTCTCTTCCAGTTCACTAAGAGTTGGAGAAATTTCATGACCTGCACGTAACATAGAAATAGTCTTATAGTTCTGACAAAAAGAAGAATCAGACAAAATAATTGCAAGGCAAGAATGCATATCAACTATGCCGGGATTTGTACCTCGCTGGGGTCTCGGAGAGAGTAAAATGCATTGCTTTCTTTCCTCACCGACGAAACCAAAATCCCATAACCTCTATTGCTGTCTCGCAGAACCTATATATTTAGCATATGCACATTGCAATCATTAAAAATTGTGGCATAATAATCTGTCCACTGAAAGAAAAATCCGAAAATGCTTAAATTTAATTACCTTGAATGCATCTTCATCAGTTTTATCATCTCCAATGTAAATGGGAAGCACATTATCACTATCATTTAATCCTGCAAAACACCATTTGCGCGTTCAATTATATCACGAACTTGGTATGTAATCAATAAATAATAAAAAGGCAGAAGAGAGGTTCTTACCTAGGGATTCAAGTAAAAACTCAACAGCTTTTCCTTTATTCCAATCAACCACAGGACGGACTTCTAAAACCTACCACACCAAAGGAGGTTTTGATGTAGCAAACTGAATAAAACTATGGTATGGAGTGCGTGAACGAACTTGAATAGCGAGTTAATAAAATCTTAAATTACTAGTTACTATCACAAAATGGTTAAAAGTTGTGCAAAGAACTGAGTGTCCAGTTGATGCATCAACATTTTCCAATTAAGAACGGCTAATATTACAGTACCTTCCGTCCATAAGTTGAACGTAAACGAGGGTAATTTTGCAAGACATCATGGACACGTTGCCCAATTGTTGTCCAACTCTGCAGTTCATTTAAAAAGTAATAAAAGGATCAGATTATGAAAAATGATCGAGATTGGAAAAATATATCAACACTTTATGGTTGGTGCAACCAATGCTTACATTCTCCTCTACATTACGATAATGTACAGAAACGCAAAATTTGTGGTTTTCAACTTTTGCGCCTTGTATATCTTTAGTAATCTCGACGAGGGTTCTAAAAACCTGCATGAAATCACCTCATCATTAGTTTCTTTTTAATTCATGAACAAGTTAGTGTTTCTCACCTAATATTAGAAAGAAATCTCACACCTCATCAACCATAGGCAGGAATTCTCTCGCAGGTTGGAAGAGAGTTAGTTCCTTTCCCTAAATACACATTAAAATACAGAGACATAGTGAATTTCGGAATTCTTTGACATATATATCAATGTATATAAGACTGGTGATAGCAATCCATGATAGCTTCACTAATGTTACACACCTCATGGTCAGTAGATTTAATACAATTTGGGTGATTTTTGGACAAAGTCTCACTAACAGGGCCAATAATGTCCATCCCGTGACTACCAGCGTAGTAAAGTTCTGTTAGTTTAACAAAATCAAAAACCTGAAAATTAAAGTAACATGCTTTTACCACTTAGTAAATATGATAAAGAACAATAATGAACACTAAACTGAACAAATAAAATAACTAACGATCACCCTGGATACCTTGTCACGGCTTCTTCCACTGATGATTGCTGTGGGGAAATATGATGCCACACTTCTCACAGTTGTACGCATCTGAACATAATTTTGAGAAGAAAACGATAGCCAATTTACATTAAGAACTAAAGAAGAATTGACTTAATCGTACAGAATATATGATCTATAATATGGCAATCCAGTATGTATTACTTACAGATTCGGACATAAATGCACAATCCGGATCATCTACTATCGGGGAAAGTGTGCCGTCATAGTCTAGAAACATGGCAATCTGTTTATTCTGTGCAAGGTCAATGATTTTCTCAAAAGAGTCTAGTGCTGAAGGATATTCAAGCTGGTAAAAAGAAACAAATCAAAGACAGTCTAGAAAGGAAAAAAAGAAAAACTTTAAGCGAGATGGATCAATGCAAGGATTTAGAATACGATCTACGATTGTGATATTGGTAGCGACATCGAGGTTTTTTAGGCGTGGGCAATCATAATGCAATCACAATTGTTACTATATAATTTCTCATAATATCAAGGAACATGACGAAACCACTGTTAGCCCGAATAAACCAACCAAAGAATTAAATGACGAAATCATGAGGCTATGTAGCAAATTTACCATCCATGTATAATAGTCTTCAATGTCAAAGTCAATTGAAGCAACCTGAGCACTGGACCCTTTAAGTAGCTTCTTCCTTGGAGGGGAAGAAGCCTTCATGGCATCCAACAAACCATTGGACCTCACATCATCGACACTACCTGTACTTTTCCTTGAACCGCTCCTTGAGTACTTCCCAGGAGTGACTGGTGAATCTTGCTGGGAATAAGCTAGCAGACTAGAATGCATTCGAAGCCTTGACTTGTTGACGGGAACAGGGTCAGTGAGAACAGGAGAAACATGAGAGGACTTCAAATCCATTGAACCAAGCTATATTATTTGAGGGGCACGAACGTATCAAAGAAAGGCAAGAAATGATTGTGTTCGATAATATGAGCGCGTGACTTTGTCACAAACAGGGTTGATTTTACGTGCTGCCTATTCGACTTTTTATCTTCGCTCAACCAACTCTTTTGTCTATGAAAAACCACCGCTTTAATGTTCTCTTGTCACTGCTACTGTGTGAGCAGTCCATCAAGAACGGGTTTCCCTGAAAGTTTAATTAATTGGGAGAATCATAAGCATAGTTACAGAGTAACAAACGGCGTTTTATCATGAAATGCAAGCGAAAATAATATCTTGGCAAGATGAAACAATAGAAAACCAATAATAACAAAATGCCTTCTCATATATCGCATTGCATTTGTTGTAACAGGGGACGATGAATTGTTGGCGTGGGTCTTCTTAGTAGGGAGTGATGATTATAAAATCTGCAACCCAGAAAAGCATTCACCATTTAGTGATAAATGAAGACAAATTTTACATCTATATATAATTTATTTCTGTGGTGGCTATTGCACATGTTACAAGGCCTATTAACGTAAGAGTAATGAACGTTTAATTGATTAAACAGGAATGTACAACTACAAATAAGAATTGCTGAACATGATATGAAATGCAAATATAAAAAAGGAAACACATCCAGCAAACATTAGAAAACATTCTTGTCAAAAAAAGCTAACGATGAAAGTGATGTCCCATTGCGCTGGGTCAATAATAATTCAGTGGCTGAGGGAAATTCCAGTTCTTCGAGTGCTGGCGCCATTTGGTTTGGCGATGGAAGCTACAAAGTTACAATTACCTTCAAGAGCACCTGATTCTACCGTTTTCCAAAATCATCAATATTCACATAGCACATTCTAGAAAAACAGACTAAGATTTCTAACCTCTACTTTTTACTCCCAGAAGTTTTTCTTCCCGAAAAGAAATAATATATAAAAAGAACTAGGAAAAAAATATTATTTCATTACTAAACTATACGTGAAAATTTTATTTTATTTTTATGCCCGTTTCACCTTCAATGTGGAAGACCATTGTAAATGTCTACAAATGAGGAAGAACATTATAAACCTTCCCAAATATGAAAGTAACAAAAAAAAAACTTTCACTAGACAAGACTTTCGAAGCCATAGAGAAAAACTGATGTATATACATTTTTGTAATGTTCAAAATTTCTAAGCAATGTCTGGGGTTGGGTAAATAAGTATGTAACCAGAGTTAAAAAACAAGCATGGATCTAATGGTACGCAAGGAAGATAAGGCAGATTATGAATACATTATACTATACGTTATCATGTCACTATCTCAGTTATTCGAGGTTATCTACAAATGATCTTCTTAATTATTATTATAGTTGTGCATCTTCCCTTGTGCTCAAACACACTGAGCATATCCGGTAGTAATTCTTAATCCATTTTTACTGAAGATCATATTGGATGAGGCTGAAATGGCTTCTAACTGCGAGAACTGGTAATTGGTTGTTAAAAATAAAAATACATTTTCTTTATAATAATACGTGAGATCTATTTTAAGATTTTAGATGATTAAACCGGTAAGTGGAAAATTGTTAAAATTTTACATCTAATATGATAAGACAGGACTCGCTAAACGAGTTAATAGGTAGATCATTGGAGATGCTCTAACGAAGAAATAAATTATTCATTCTATTGTTTATAGCAACATTTGGGAAAGAAATGGCATAAAATATTAACACTTGATACAGAGATGTGTAGCGTAGTGCACTGTATGAGTCATATGTATATACGTGCAGTTATGTCTGTGGTATGCAATTGAAACTTGAAACTTCGGTGATGGACCTACCCGAGCTTAAAATGAAGAAAAAAAGTAGCTGTCAGCCTGTCACTTGTAGCTGTAGATCCAACGCACGACCTTCACATTCCAATATATATAAATTATAAACAAATAATATTTATATGATCATAAAAATATTTCGTTCATTGACTAGACACTTCAACGGCCAACGTGAACAAAAGTTAAGGACATAACCAAACTCCGATTACTCTCCCACCACAAAAATACAACAAAGGATAGTAAAAAATAAAAAAGAGGATGAGAGAGATATAAATTGTAGAAAATCTGCCAATCCTCCATCAAAATTGTCTGTTTTTTAGGTTACATATCAAATTTGCATTTTAGAAGATGCTATTGTTACTGCATTAGTTGGCAGCCATCTGGACTAGGTTCAGGTCAATGTTGAAAAAGTTCTGGGGATGGCAAAAATCATGACACTGTAAAAAACTTTAACCCTAAATCTGGCATGCGTCTAACCAAAATAGTCTAGTGCGTTTATTTTAGTAAAGGAAATGCATGTTTCCGAAAATTCAACATCTTCTGTAACCATAAAAAAAAGGGTTATAGAAACCCAACTACAACATACTTTTTTTCTACTTTTTTTTAATTGAGAGGCAAATGGTAGATGAGAAACACTCCGGTCTTGACACATGGGTTGTCAAATCATTGCCCAATTACTATGCACAATACGACTGTATCAGTATGGTTAAAAACTTTAAATATTGTCAATCAAATATAAAAACTTCCGTATGTATGGTGTGAAATGTCATAAATGACCGAAATATTAAAATATGAAAAACCAATGAATGGCCTCCGGTGGCAAGAGAAAACAAATCGAAACGAGGACGTTTTTGGGTGAATATTTTTCATGTCCCTTTGGCCCAAAAAGCCCCACCTTTTGATCACACCCCTGGCATTTTGCACATATCAGGCAAATGCAAAACAAAACAGTTTCAGAAGAAAGAAAAAAGAGAAGAAGAAAGATGATGCTTCGATGAATGATTCGTTGCCAAAGGCCATTATCGGAACACATGAGGTGAAATTGGTTTCGTTCTTGATTTTGGAACACTTCTCAAACAATGACATCACAAATTCGGATCGTTTCACGATATGCAGAGAGAGAGAGAGAGAGAGGGGATCGAAAAGGTACCTGATTTATCAGTTATACCGCTCTTTCCAGCTGGGCAGAAATCGCATTAACGTGCCTGAAACAAATCCAAACCAATCGAACAAAATAAGAAGGTTAACGGGGAGAATTTGAGAGAGCGAGAAGGGTAGAAAATAGGGAATGAAAAATCACCTTAAATGAAACTAGCAAACAAAGAAAAATTGAAATGAGAGAGAAAGAGGGGCGCAGGAGAAGAAAGAAGGGATGGCATTAGCTATTTATATGTTTGAGGCTATAAGGAGACTTGCCTATCAAGTTAGTTTCTTTTACGTTATGATGTTACCATTATTCTCGGTTTGCATATTTAATTCCCAATTTACTTTCCATTATGCCTATTATAAGTCTTTTTCTTCTTCTAAAACAAATTCCAAAATAATTTACTTATAATTTAATTTAGTTTAATATTTTAGTCTATTTCTTTCTCAAATATATTGTAAAAAGATAAATGCTTTTTCGACAAATTTGTTCAACAAAATATTTAATCCTCATGATATATACACGAAAAACATGATGTATAAGCTTAAAAAATTCAACCCCACTTCTAAATCCATCAATTCACGTAGATTAGACCATCAACAAAATCATCAATTTACATGTTTGAAGTCAAAATCACAAACATGCATTTAAAAAAAAATTCCAGTGTATGATTTATCCTACATAATTATCAAAACTTTTTCATAAAATCATTGTCACCTATCTCCTCCTTCTCACGTATAAGCTATATTCATGACCTAAATTCCTTCCCAATCTTGTAAATATCTTGCTCCTAAATTAACCTAAAACTTTGAAAGATATTTAGTCAAAGATAGTCAAGAATCTCAATATTGTTTCCATGGAGTTAAATTTAACAAATAAACACACTACAAGAGACTCAAAAAACATCATGTATTCCCATCAAAGCATACATGATTGTAAAACTTCTCCGCATGCAAGTTAAAGGAAAAAGAGAGAAAAAAAAAACGTGGAAATATGTTATCTAAAACAAAATTCTTATAACATACCATTTGTTTTGTTTAAATCGTACTTCTTTAACCATTTTTATGTTATTATTATTATTATTATTTTTATGTCATTATTATTATAATTTTAGACCATAAATATATAATATTTTTAAAAAGTGTGATTAATATGTTAAACTACCCGTTTATTTTATACATTACTGTTGTAACATAAAAATACAGTAAATCATATAAATAATTTGAAAACTATTTATTCAAATTTTGAAAAAAAAATAAATATATTGAAAATGATTATATTAATATTACATTTTTTTTAGTGTGCACTAACATAATACGTGATACATATATGTAATATATATTATCTCTAAACATTTTAAAACTATATAAACATGGTAAGAAGGAAAAAAAAACTTTCAACATCGAATAAAAAAATTGATATTTATGTTATCGTAATTAAATATTTACTGTTATAATAAATAAAATTGTTTATTGTCATCATAATTTTAAATTATTAATTAATATTTTTTTAAAATTTTAATATTGATTTTAAAAAATTTATATACTTTTTTTATATATAAGAAGAGATATATTTTTTTTTAATAATTTAACATAATAAATTGTAATATCTTAAATTTACAATGTAATATATTAAATTATAATTTTTTTATAATTTAAATATTTTTATTAAATTTTAATTAGAATAATAAAATAAGTGATAGAAAAATAAAAGAGAAAAAAGAAAACATTCACAAGGATTAAAATAAGAAAAAGAATAAAAAAAAGTAAATAAAAAGACAACAAAGAGTAAAAAAGTAAATGAGGAAGAACAGCAAAGACAAATTATTTTCTGTTATTAAATTTTGTGTATGAACAATAAATATGTCTAATTGGATAAATAAATTTAAAGAGATTCTATTTAAATAATTTTTTGTTTTAAATATATTACTTAAGAAATTGATTTGTTTTAAATATATTATTTAAGAAATTAATTCTTAAAAGATATAATAAATTTAAAAATAAAGAAAAATTGCTTAACTTTATATTTATAATATTAAAAAATTAACTTAAAAATAAAATTATTATTTTCATTAACTTAAAATTCTTTAGTCTATATACTCATTACAACACATATCTTTACTTTAATATTCCACATTAAGAACAGGGATACCTTTTATATATATATATATATATATATATATATATATATATATATATATATATATATATATATATATATATATATATATATATATATATATATATATATTACTTCATATCGGTATGAATTATCATTGTCACATTGAATATATACATAATATGGGTATCGCCGAACCACATAATTTATTTCATACTCAAAGTGAAATCATTAGAATTTGAACCTGAAGCATTTGATTAAGAGATCTAAAATTATTACTACTTAGAATAACTAATTAACATTAGCTCAAAATGTGTATTTTATTTGTATGATATAATTCATAATAAAAAAGTATATCACATATATTTTGAAAAATCTATAACCTATAATTGTTATATATATAAAAAAAACAATATAATTTTTAATGTATTCTTAAATTGTGTGATGATATTCTTATAAAATTTATAAAATTAGCTTTTAAAAATTGATTTAAACTATTGGATTTTAGGGGAACTATATATATATAAAAGAAAACAATAATATATCAGGTTATACAAGGTGATACCATTATACAAATAGTTTGTGTTTCCTTTCTAGAGCTTTGAACTGTATTTGAACTTCTTCTTTTTTTCAAAACATTGGTTCAAAATAAATAATTAACACGAATTAAATAACTATCGATATGCTCCTTTACTTCCGGCAATCACTATCCTCTGCACTGGTGTTTATTTCATTCATGCATGCAATGTTTCTTATAGAAGTTGCATCCATGTATTTATACTATTTTATTTTAATCATTTATTTTTATATTTTGATTTTGTATATAATGCATATTTATTTTATGACAACCATAATTTTTCATTTCTGTTAGGAATAAGATTCAATGTGTGATTTTTTATTTATTTATTGGTGTATTACCAGTCAAATTTTGACTTATGTATTTATAATGTTTTATTTATATTTAATCAATATTTTTTTGTTTAGATATCCCATCATAATTTAAAATAATAAAAAAGTGTCTATAATTATGTCAAATTTCGTACATTGTTTAAGAGTTGTACTATTTAAAATTCTGAATATATTAGCTATGAATTAGAATTTAATTTTAAAATTTAATTCATTTATTGAATCATTTTTACAAAGTCATCTCTCTCCGCTTCGGAACAGATAAGATATGTTAAACCTAACTTCTTTTCTTTTTCTTTTCCTTCTACACACTGCGTATACACTCCATGTGATTGGAAAAAATAACCATTCCATAGGTTCAAAGATTCATGAAAGAAGTTTATATGAGCAAATAATTACATAAGTATATAAAAATCAATAATTTATTTTAAATTTGAGAAAGTATATTACATATAACTTAAAACTAAAAACAAAATTACAAAATAGCTTTGATCATCGTATACTGACACAAAATTAAAATATTACGTTGTAAATAAATATAAAAACAAATGTAGAAGTAAAGCAATTTTATTTATCTACCCTTATCAATATTTTTTTGTAAATTTAGAGATGAAATAATAAAACACAATTTAAAATTTTAGTATTAATTAAATCATTCAAATAGAACATCAAATAAATTTCAATAAATTATTCAAGTATAAGATAAAAAAAATAGAATATAACTTTAAATAATTTAAATATAGTAATAACTAAATAATATTATAAACATAATTATTCTTAAATTTAAATTATATAATAATTATTTAAGAAAAGTTTCATAGACAAGGGGGCTTAATGTAATGAAAGATGAGGTTGAACAACCATTAGTTTTAATATTTTATGACACATCATTTACTTATTAATTTATCAACTAAAAAATTTGCTTGAAAATTTTTAATATAAATAAGAATATTAACGTCGATAAAAAATGATGAAATATATGATCAAATACAATAATAGTAATAATTCAATAAGTATTAACTTTTGACAAGGTTGATAAATAGTTTACATCAATAACATGGCTATAAAAGCTAAGATAAAATTATATTAAAAAAATTAATAAAATAAAATAAAATAAAATAAAAATCGATATATTTTTATTTTATATGATTTTTTTATTTTATATTTTATTTAAATTGTGTAATTATTTTCTTTAATGTCCTGCAATTATAGAGATATCTATAATCTATGTGAGAGTGTGTGTCAGTCTATGAAGAAAACCACAGAAAAAGGTACTTAGGAAATTTAATATAACCATAGAAAGAAATTAGTTATGACAAAACTGATTTCCTAATTATTAATTGTGAAGTACATTGTGTGTCCATGTGTGTATAAGGTGAAAAATGAAAATAAAAAGACTTTGAAAATTTTAAAATGATTATGGTAATAATATCGTGGCAAGGTCTTTCCTAATTATTCTTTTGTAAGCACAATAATGTGAATGTTAAATATTGATCATGGATATAATATTTTTAATTGATATCAATTGAAACAAATTATTTAATATAAGAATTTTTTTATTAATTTAGATAAAAAAAATGTCTAACTAAATAATATCAACTTACATTAAAGAAAAATAGTTTACATAAAAAAAACTATAATTAAATTTTAATGTGAAATGAATTCTCACAAAATTGATTTTAACATGACACGAATTATGATGATATTATACCGTGAAATAATAAGTTGTAACATTTATATCAATGTTAAGTCAGTAATATTTTGACTGATATTGAGTGAAAGAGAGAAAATAAATAAATATTTATATTTTATATTTTTTAATAAAATTTACAAATTTCTAATTTTATGTAATAAAACTTATCATAAATTTTAGAATTTTTTATCCAAACAACATAATTTTTTTCATAATTTTTTTTTATTTTTTTATATTAAAAAAATCATGATCTAAAAATTCACCATTTAAACAAAAATTTAAATTACTATAAATTCATAATTTTTTGTAAATATTACATTGTGGTATTTTATAAATCTTTAAAATCTATATTTCATTATCCTAATCATAAAATCATTCAGACTTTACAAGATTTTATATCATAAAGAAATCTCTCACCTTTCAAGTCTTATAGAAATTAAGAATGCAAATTTGTCCCCAAAATCATCGTACATGCAATAAAATTTGTGTGGAATATGCAATATGTCGAATAGTTTTGGGACCCTGATGCCAATTAATTCATCCTTCATTTAAACCACATAATTGTCTTTTATACACACTACAGACAAATGCAATCAATTATCTGAACATCATGGTTTCATGTGCCTAACCACTTCCACTTTTGTTTTTGTTCCCCATATTTCAAAAACCATTACACCAAAAGAACACCAATTTTAGTGTCTGAAGTACTCCTACAGAGGCCTTTTACCTATCAAAACGTGTTCATGCTTATAAGTTTTTATCAAGATAATTTTTTTAAAAGAAATTTTGAAATGATTTCATATCATAATTCCACGTAAACCCTGGATATATGAAAAACAATTTATGATATTTAAATGAAAATAACAAATAATTCCAAATTAATAATTTATAAAAGCTGAAAAATAAAATTATTTGAATATAGGGACTAACTTAAAAGAAAAAAACAACACTGAAAACATTCATTGTCCATGCATGTACTATATATACAGTGGACGAAAATAATTAGGGTGGTTGAGGCTGATAATGAAATGTCCCAAAAGATACTGATGCCAATTATTGATAATTGATTGATGCAACAAACTAGTTATTTACTAATTTGATGTTCTCATCAAAGTTGCTGAATCAACACATATATGTATTATAGATTCATTAAAGTTCATATATTTTTTGTTGCATTACAACTTTAGAAGTAGATCTACTTTCTTCCCCCTTGGTTTCCTTCTTTCTTTATTTGGAGGATTCCCTTTTCCTATATATTCTGTAAAGGGACAGAAAGGAATGGGTCTTGAGATCCTTGGACATTGTGTCCTTGTCCTTACAAATCTTATTCTTACGGTGGTTTTGGACTGGTGGCACTTACAAATAAGGTAACCGACTCTCACAACAACTTTTCCAGTAACATTTTTTAATAAAATCTATCTGGTTTAAGGTTTCAAACTTACCACAAAGTTTTACCATAATATCATCTTCATATCATTCTAATAAATTGTTATATAAGTAGATCCGTAACAGGCCCAGTCCGTCGGCTTAAGCTTGTCACCAAACAGGCCCACTTGTGTTTTTGTTTATCTTTTAAAAATAATTTTTCACATTTCCATTGGGTTGTGCCCAAGTTATTTTAACTAAACATCAGAGGGTATTTATGATTATTCTGAAAAAAAAAAAAAAGGTTATGAGTTGCATTAGAGGTGTCATATGTTCACTCGCCAGATGGTTGGGAGTAAAAACTGTACTAAATATAATTAGTAATTTTTTAAATAAAAATTAAGTATAAAAAAATTATCAATAATATATATTAATAACACAATTTAAAAAATTATATTTAAACCATTTATTCAGTAAAGAAGTATAAAGTTTTTATACATAGCAGTAGATATGTAAATGTTATTATGGGTCTGCGTCCGCATTGTACTGTATCATGAATTTTGTATAAGATTATTACATAAATATTTAACGGTTTTGTAAATTAAGGATATAGCTGTGTTATAGATTACAGATGTTATTTAAAGTAGATATTATAAGGGTATATAGTGGACTTAAAAATATGTAAATATGGATGAATTTTATATTATTTTCTAAGAGAAGAAAAAAAAAATTATTGACAGACATTTGACTTGCCTAGTGTTTACAACTATAGATAATGTTTGTAATTATGAGAAAGTAATCCTACAACAAAACAATAATTTTTTTTAACACAGAGTGAGTTTGGATATGGTAATTCGGAGTTATCAAAGGGTAATTAAATTGAGATTAGAAAAATAATAAGAGCACTTTCATATTTCACTCTTTCAACAATGAAAGGGCAAAAACCCCAACACAGCGTGCGTGCATGACATCAAATCTAACCGTTTTCGATCGTTGGAATTTCCGTGACACCCAACGTTTTCGACAACGTCCTCGGTAACTCCGATGGGCCAAGGCCATGACCCCCCGAAATCCCCACCGGTAGCGCCACCGTTACTCCGCCGCATCCACGACCTGGACAACGCCGTCTCCTTCTACATCCACACTCTCACAAGCTCCATTGCCCCAAAACCCCTCCTCCGCTTCCTAGAGCTTTTGGCGGACTTCCGATTCTTCTTTCCAGTCTCCTTCGCCCTCTTCCTAGGCACCCCCTCCTCCTCCCCTCTCCGCTCTCACCTCCTCCTCCCTCTCCTCCTCTGCTCCCTCCTCGACCTCCTCTTCATCGCCCTCGTCAAATTTCTCGTCCGCCGATCCCGCCCCTCCTACGCCAACCATTCCCAATACAACGCCGTGGTCCCCGTCGATAACTTCTCCTTCCCCAGCGGTCACTCCTCCAGGGTCTGCTTCGTCGCCTCTGTCTTCTCCCTCTCCCGCCCCTCTCTCCTCGCTGATCTCCACCATCCACGTGTCGCCATCTTCGTGCATCGCTGGTTTGGCGGAGATCAGGCCCTCGCCGTTGATCTTCTCGTCGCGGCCGTTTGGGCCTGGGCTGTGACCACAGTAATTTCTCGCATCGCTCTCGGGAGGCATTACGTTATCGATGTCTTCTTCGGCGCGTGCTTCGGTGTCCTCGAAGCGCTCTTCACCTTCCGCCTTCTCGAATTTCGAGGGTTGCTTTGAGGTAAGAATAGAAATCGGGAACTGGGATTTTCAGAAGTGATAACCTTGCCCACTGGTGAATGTGGAGTTTTGTAATGCAGCTGTTTTTCATATCAATCAATATTCACTGGTGAAATGTACTTGCTGATTACTATTATTTTTTTATGCTATTCTATTGTGATAATGTTTTAGTTTTAGTCATTATGTTCGATGACTTAACCGAACCCTGGAGAAAAGTTTGGTACATGGCATCTCCAGAAGATACAAAACTTTTAGTATAAGAATAACACCTCTGGGAACATTGTATATGCTCTTTTTGGTTTCCCATTCAGCTGCTTTGAACGGAAGTTTTTCTTGCTAAACTTAGTTTGCTAATATGCTTGATTCCTCCTTCGATGCACACCTATGTTTGACTTCACATGACATAACATTAGAGGTTGCTTTTAAAACTCAAGTTTGCAAAACGAAATTCATTCAGATTTATGTTTGCAAACTTTACTCCGGACATGTACATAGTAAGACCAAATGAGGCGGATGCAGGGCACGCACGCCAAAAGTAGGAGATGAAATTGAAACATTGAATCGTGTACATATGTTGAAGGGAAGTTACATTAAGTACTTAGGTTGAGTCTAGTGTATGCTTAAACTTTAGGGTGCTTGATATTTAATTGGTCTAAAACCTATCCTTGTTTGAATCTAAAGCAAGTTGCCGGGAGAATGTAATAACAACTGGTTAATGACTTGGAGATCATTTAAAGGATTTTCATGTTACTCAATATAATCTTTATGCACAATGTCCCTCAAAATTAAATTCATCAAGATTGACCGAGAATGTTCATTATTTTTTAATATTTATTTGAGAATTTAATTCAAGTACCAACATTGACCTCTGCCAATGAGAATTAAATCGCAATGCTTCATTTCCCTTTCACAAGACCAATTCAAACAACACAGGAAATGTTTCGGCCAAAGAGCTTCTCCAACAAGTCATAACTAGTGTATGTTGGCGTTAGGGTCATTACCAACTCAGTCTTGTTGCTTTTATTGTGAATTTGCAGGATACTGTTCATCTTAGATTCGGATTCAAATACGAACCAAGTATGGTTGGAGCCAAGAAATTCTCATGAAATTTGATTACTGGAAAGTTCAAAAAGATAGGATAAAGAAACTATCCGTTAATGTACATGTTTTTATATTCTCTATATGTAACAAACAAATAATTTATTTGAAAGAAAGAATATATATATATATATATATATATATATATATATATATATATATATATATATATATGTACTCTTTTGCAAACTTTTTTCCCAGTTTCAACTAAAAAACTTTCGTTTGTCCATGCTATATTGATCCAATTTTGAATTTTCTCAATCTATAATCTAGAGAGTCTCCATTGCTAATCTTTCATAGAGTTGAGTTTCCACCTAAGGCTCTCACAAATATCTGTTGGTTCATATGGTAAAGAATTTGTTTCACTTTAAGCTAGAACTTGGTTAAAAGTCTTGATAATGAAAGAAATATTGTTTACAGTGCTCTGTCTCCTTAAGTGGTAATGGTCTAGCACCTATTTATACTCCTCATTAATGAGAATGACTTAGCCAGAGAAAAAGAAAAGGAAAACAAGCACAGGGCAAAAGAACTACATTATTATTGTCTCTGTCTAGTATAGTGTGTTCCATCCCTGATTATGAGGCTGTGAAGATGAGAGAAAACTTAGTATCTTAGGATAGACTAAAGAGTGAAACAAAATACTGCATGTTAATGGTATGAAATAAGGAAGCATACGTCTTCCTCAAAAGAGTGGAAATTAAATGATAAGAAGTTCAATCACCTTTAGTCTAGCGAAGGTAGATGTTAATGGTTAGAATATTTTTTTAATTAAAGCATCAGGTTCTTGGAGAAGCTATTGACTAAATTCTCCAATTGCACCTTTTAACTTAAAGATCTATTCGGTAGGAAGTAAAGAAATGGGTGAAATATAGAGTAGATAGAAACGGGGAAGGTGCATGGAAATAGTGCGAAATAGAATTCAATTAAAAATGTTTGATTTAAAGCAAATATAAAAGAAATGGGAAGAAATAAATATGTGAATGAGAACAAGTAAGAAATAGAGTGAAGATTCCTAATAGGTCCTACATCTTGTAGTTTCTCTTTGATTTTTCTTCTACCAAATAGAGTGAAAACTGCCTCTTCACCCTTCTCCTTTTCACCGTCAGAGGTTGTCAGCACTTGCAACCATTTGTGCGCTCTCTCTCATGTGGGTTTAAAAATGTAAGCACCTAAAATAACGACTATTAATTCTAACTTCTATGTGGAAGCATATACTGAACATCCTCTAAATGGATAAATACAGAATCTAATGGCTTTCTGCTTTTTCCTTCATCTTTAGGTTCTGGTGGAGCAATTTGAACTTAAGCTACCTGAGGATAGGCATTCTAATTGGTTTCAAACAGATAATGAAGTCGTGAATTTTCTAGTACATTGGCATATTTGTCCTTACCAGATAATTTTCGAGACCTTGATGACTACCATCTTGCAGATATTACTTTAATTTCTTTCAACTCTTAATCAAATTTGTTAAAATGGCTTTGGAGTTGCATTCCTGTCCGTAATTTATTCCTTGGCATTTAACTATATGTCTCTCTACAGGCGTATAAACAATAAATGTAGGCATGTGATATAGCACACATAGTACAGCAGACCTGTACATCATTTATTTGCAGCTTTTTGTCTTTTGTTCTATTCAGAACTATAGGATGTATGATTTACATCGAGTTCTTTATGCGTTGATCAAATTTGCTACTGCTGTCAGATGTTTCTAATTTTTGCAGAGGTACTGATGCAAAGACAGATTGTTCTGTATCGTCTGAAGACTTGAAAAGAGTTATCTTTTCTGACAACTGCTGCCGGAAGATGAAGTTAGTTTATGCGTAGTCTATCACTGATTCCCACTTTGCCCGTTCAGGTAGATTGAGCATTAGTGTTTGAAATTTGTAGTAATTATCAAGAAACACTATATTATGATAATCATATGTAAGTGTGTGCTGAATGGCATATCCTGTGATCTGTTAAAAGTTTGGGCAAAGAATGGTCTTCTAGGATTTGGTTTGAGGGACCGTGTGCGGTCTGATGTGTCTGGAATTTTGACCTTTAAGAATTGAAGGATAAAAAGTTGTTAGGTCAGTTACTTCTTTTGCATGTGCCTTCTTACCGCGTGCCATGCTTTATCCGATAAGATGTTTTAGATTTGACTGATTGATTGCATTTGCTTTCCTTTCAATTTTGGAAAAGTTCGGAAGCTTACCAAATTAGCACAGACTGTGGTTGTTATGATGCGCTGGCAGCATCTATTACCGTAGTTAGGATATGGTTATGTGGAACACACCAAAAGACGAGTGAATCAAGTCGTATTTGGTTTTATTGACTTGACATGTGGGGCTGGTTGCTATTAATACCAAGAGTTAGCTCATGAATTTGATGGAAACTTTCATCCTCTTTCATATTAGTCCGCGGAACATTGACAATTTCGCTCTTTTCATGCCTTTTCTTCTTCCATTTTGCTGACCAATAGTTTCATTCACATTGAAAGTTCTGGATTTATTACCTTGGATTAAGAAAATTCGGTATCTTGGTTACGGCCCAAACAGTTCATTGGTGGAATCCACTACAGCTTGAGGGACCTACGAAGTACACGAAGCACTGTGTGTTACCAAGTGAATACTTACTGCTTAAGATTTGGAGTGACTGGAAATTTGTATTTTGTGGGACACCTGCTTTGATATTCTCCGCGCATGATTGATTTCTTAGTAATGAGAGTCTGGCTTTCTGCAGAACTTTAACTTTTTTAAAGTTGTCTTGTATGACCACAGCTGATTGTATTGTTGTTAATGCTATATTCACTGTAAATATATACAGTAATTTATTTGAGTCCGACATCTTCTTTCTGTGGGTATTTTTAATGCAACGCAGCAGGTATCTTTCACGAAAATTCTGTTTGGTTCATATAAATATTTAACTGAGTTTTCGTATTCGAAGCTCAAAACTGATGGAAGTAACACATGGGTATTTAGAAATTCACGTGCAGTGATACAAACAAGTTCGCACTTTCCAAAACACGAAATTATGAAGCAAACTTGAGTCTTTTATGTTGGAAGCCGTATGCGATTGTGATATCAGGTAATCTAAGACCCTTGGAATGTGGAATTGTAGGTGCACTTTCATGTGTCTTGGTAGGATAATGTGGAATAGGAATATGTGAATTGAATAGGTTGAAGATTTTAAATTTACTGATCTACCTCCTACTTTATAGCTACACATCTACTTTGAATTTCTGACCATTCCTGATTTTCTTCTATTACTTTTCATATATTGATTGTTGTTCATTTTTGTTGGGTTTTTTTTTTTTTTAACCCATGGGTGATCCCACTGGTCAAACATAGTAGTTTGATTTTTATGATTTAGCAGATGTTCAATGCTGGTCAGTACATTTTTGTCAGTTTCGATGTCATGGAGAATTGATATTGCATGAAAGAAGAAACCCTGAAACCCTAATTCTTAAAAAACGGATGATGTTAAACATGCTGAAGTCCCCTTATATGACCAAATATGGGGTGACACGGACTTAGGTTTGTTTGGTCATCAATGGTCATAGGATGGTGAAAGTCATATTCATGCATTTGTACAATACCAGTTTGTGTCTATTAAATTTGTTAGTTTTTTTACCACCCACAACAAAGCTTTTCAAATGTTGTGTTGGACCAGTCATTGAGGATATATAACCGTTTTGAAACTAGTTATTGCAAGCTGTGAAACCTGCAACATGCATGCTTCAGTGAGGAGTGATTGATGAAAAGTGATGGAAATTGTAAAAAATTAAGAAAATTAAGTTATAGAAACTATTTGAACTGTGAACCTTATTTTAAGTAATCTCTAGTACTACTACAAAATTTTAAAAAAATAAGTTAAAATATAATATAGAAACAAATATCTTTAAGTTTTTAGATTGTTTCATGTTTATAAATTGTTTATATATTAAGCACTTTCACTCCATGTTATATTCTTTCTTTCAAACATTTCTTACTAATAAATCCTTTTATAAAACTTATTTTTTTTTATCATGTACGTATTTTATAATATTATTCACATTACTCCAATCACTATTAATCAACAAATCATCTTTTCTATTATCTTAAAATAGTAATATCAAAGTTATGTTTACATTAATGTCAATCATTTTTCATCTTTTAATTAATGACAAAACAAACTAGATTTGAGAGGTTACTCCACCTAAAAAATGATGGCAAGGGTTACTAATTTTAGCTCGCTAATCAATTTTGGTTCATTTTACTTAACCCATCAATTTCATGATAAAAAAATTCATATATTAAAATTAAAATAAAAAATATAAATAAAATATTATATTTTTTGTGTTATATTATTGAAATATGAAAATATATTATAATATTATAATTTTAAATTATAAATATTAATTAATAAAATTTAAATGATTAATCATAATTAGGTATTTTAACACATAAATATAATAATATTTTCAAATTCTCTAATAAAAATATTAATTAATACATAAAATTTGAAAAATTATTCATATAATTAAAAGTGTATTTTAAAAAAATAGAGTCTTTGACAAGACAAAATAGAGTCTATAATCCATCTTAACTAAGATAATCCAACTTATCCCGTCCGCTTTTGGCGAGCTAAAGGTGAAACAAGTCAAAACAAGATGAGTTGACCAATTTTCTCATCCTTACATCTTTTCATGTATCATTTTTTATGGGAAAAAAATTATGACTTTTAGAGTAATAAAATATAGACATTTATTTGCTCTCAATATGTATGAGAGATTGTAAAGATGACTTTTTTACTTATACAAACATTTTCAACTAACTAAGAAGGAGTTAAATGAGAAAGATTTGGAATTATATTTCTTACAACAAGTCGTGATTGATGTCCTTTTTTCTATTAATAATAGAGTTAACAAATGTCAAAGAGGTGTGAAGCACATTGTAGGAGGAATTTTAAGGAAGTGTAAGGTATATACATTAAATATTAAACTTCAAACTCATGAGTTTGAGTTATTGAATATGAAAAAATTTGAGACCATTAAGGATTATTATACTAGGATAAAAAAGATAGTTAGTCAAATGAGAATATGTGAGGAAAATATTTTTTACAAGAAAATTGTTAAAAAAATTCTAATTTTTAGTCCTCACAAATATGATGCAATTGTGACAATGATTAAACAAATCAAGAATATGTCAATCTTATTAGTGACAAAATTAATAGGCTATTTGAAAGCATACGAGTAAAGATTAAAAATGTATAATAATGATTATATTGAAAATGTATTTCAATTAAATATCAAATAATGGTCTCAAAATTAAAAGAGTTGAGCAAAGAAAATAGAAAAAAATTTTAGAAATAAAGAAAGCTCTAGAAGTTTAACTAAGTATAATTAAGAGAAATATTCTCCATGTGACATCTACAAAAAGTCGTGACAGTTGGAGAAAGATGGTTGACACCACGAAAAATCACAATGTCAATACTCTAAGAAGTTTAGACGTGTGGAGAAAAAACAAGAATCAAACAAATTTTGTTGAAGAGCATGACCTTCAACAACATATTTTTAATGATATCCAAGACTCCAGTGATTAAATAACGGATGTTGTAGTCACATGATCAAAGACAAAAGCATCTTCAGAGACATGGACAACTTTGTCAGAGTGAAAGTACGATTGAGAAATGACACTCTAGTAGAGTCAAAAGGAAGATACACTATTGTGGTATAGACAAAAAAAGGTATGAAATTTATTAAAGATGTCTTGCTAGTTATCAATCTAAAAGTTGCTAAGTATTAACCAAATGATGGAGAAATGCTATGTTATTTACTTTAAAGGAGATACATACAAAATATACGATAATAAAGATGAGAGATAGGAGAAGTAAAAATGGAGAAAAGAAATTTTTTTTTTCTAAAAGCTTCAAATATACTATTTTGAGATTACAATGGAAACCCAATTTTATGATTCATGGCTTTGACATTGAAGGTTTGGACATTTTAACACCTAGACTTTGAAGCTATTATATCAGTAAAATATGTTGAGAGGTCTCTCATACTTTAAAGAAAACAATGAAACCTATGAAGGATGTTTTTTAGGGAGACAACACAAATTATTATCTTTAACTGACAAAGTATGGATAACAAAAGCCTTGTTGGAGTTAATTCATACAAACACTTGTGGACTGATGAAGACAACATCACTAAATTAGAGGTACTTGATCATTTGCATAGTTGACTATTTTAGAATGATTTAGGTTTATTTCATTAAAGAAAAATCAAAATTTTTTAGAATATTCAAGAAGTTTAAATTTCTTATTGTGAAATAAAATAAAAGATATATAAAAGTTTTAAGAAGTGATCGAAATAAAAAATATATATAACTCACGAATTTAACAAGTTTTATGAAGATGAAATGATAGAAAGACAACTTATAATTGTATATACATCACAACAGAATGGTGTATTGAAAAGGAAGACTTGCACAATGATGAAAATGACTAGATCAATGCTGAAAGAGAAAGACTTATCTAATACTTTTTCAACATAAACATTTTATAATGACATGTATATACTCAAATAAATGTCCAATTAAGACAGTCTAAGATAAGACTCCAATTGAAGCTTTGAGTGGGCAAAAAACCATCACTACACACTTAAGAGTTTTTTTATCTATTTGCTACATACATGTGACTGATAAAAAAAGGTACAAATTAAAAAATAAGACTATACAAATAATCTTCTTAGGATATAACATATAAAAAAAAGACTATCAAGTTTACAACTTGCCGATAAAGAAACCCACAATCAATAGAGATGTTGAAATTGATGAAAAAACTTCTTAAAACTGGGAAGAAGGAAAAATTATGAGAAGTAACATCTTTATTTAGAACAACAATCTTAAGAAGTTGTAAAAGATTTCGATACACTTTCTTCATCTATATAACCGAGTGGCAGATCTTAATTATTGATTTTGGAAGGTCAAATAATATATTATTAATAAATAATAAATAAATATGAAAAGATAAAAAAAGATGAAAAGATAAGAAACCAAAATTATAAATATAGAAGTAGATATATTTAATAAACATTAAGTTTGGAAGACTAAAATCATAAATATATATATTTAAATCACAAAATTTTGGGAAGCATGACCTACCTCAACTCTCAACACAAATCTACATAATAAAATTTTTCACTTAAGTTTACTCATATACGAGTATGACCCTTAATATATATATTATTGTTTAAACTTAAATTTTATGAAGAGGTTGCAAACGAATAAATTAGATTAAGGCAATAGAAAAAAAATTAAAATGATTGAAAATGAGTAGAATACTTACATGCAAAAATATCATAAGAATAAAATGGATTTATAAAACAAAACTCAATTATCGTGACATGATATAAAAACACAAGATTAAGTTAGTAGCATTGACATTTTCATAACAAAATGTAATAAACTAAAATAAGACATTACCAAGAGTGATGTTTTGAAGTTACCAAAATTTTGCATCAAAAATGGATAATAAAAAGTAATATAAATTATAAAAAGATAATGAAAATTAATTCTAGAAACTACTAAAACTAAGAATTTCATGTAAGTAATCTTTAAAGTTTCTTAAAAATAAATTAAATTATAATATATAAATAATCATCAAAAATGTTAAAAAGAACTGTCTCATATTCATATATATATATATATATATATATATATATATATATATATATATATATATATATATATATATATATAAATTCACACTTATTACACTACCACTCCCCTTAGACACATCACTATTAATTAACAAACTATATTTTTCATTATCATAAAATAATAATAATAGGGATAAGTTTTTTATTTATTTCTTCTTTGGGAGGGTGTGGAAACATTAAAAAGATTTTTGGACTCATTTTCATGACCTCGCTTCGAAAATCTAAAGAGAGGACCACTCATCCAAATTGGTTATCAATGCAGAGACTGATGATATTTACATGTCTTTCTATATTTACACGTATTAGTTTTACCTCACTGCTACAAACTAAAGAACCGAGCAGAAGAATTCAGGGGAGAAAGGTTGCTGACACCATGTGGAAATAGAAAACTGTGAAAGAGTTTCAAGAGGTGAAGACAGTAGGCATCATTTGAAAACTGTCTCCCCTTACCTCATTGGCTATCCTATCTGATTTGAAGTCATGAGATTTCTTTCCTTATTTTACCTTTTGTTTTAAGTAATCTGTTTGCAATTTCATTTGCAGTTCGCTAAAGTTACTCCAAATATTACTCAGACAGAATTTGTTTCATCTGCAATAATGTGCCAAGTTGAAGTGAGACGGTTTAGAAGGATCATTGATTTATTTACTTAATGACTAATTAATCATTTATCACTGATAATGGTAATGAGCAAAACTTTCAATCTATAATTCTAATTAAAGAAGGAGAAATTATTACATGATGTCAAACTATTATAGTTTTTGGTAGATTTTTATGACAGTTTTTTTATTTATTTTTTGAAGACTCTCATAAGGTTGTTCAAAATCATTATTGTACAGGAACTATGTAATAATGTTTCTATCTCAAAACTTTGTTTAAGTCACATGATAATAAGTAAACAAACAAAGGGAGAGAATGAGTGGAAGAATTATTTATCATCTTGGTATAAAAAAAAAAAAATTCTTAATTCCTCCCAAAATTTTACTTTAATTTTCACCTTAAAAATGCATACCAAAGAAAGCACGAAAGAAAGAAGAGATAGAAAATACAAAGCTCCTCTTAATAGCTGGCAAGGTACAGATGATCTTAATTGGGGTTCATATATTATTCCTTTTTGAGTGTCCTCTGAAAGATTGTACTATTTATCGTTTACCATTACTATTCAGTGTTTGGCTGTTTGCTTGGTGGGAAACTAATTAAATTGATCAACTTTTGAAAAGGGAAAAGGGATGGACCCAACTACCACTGCACAAATTTGTCCCTAGGTAGCTACAATGTCTCTGCACAGAACGGACATCATAAAAGGCCACATGCAAAAATGTAGCAACGACCCCTCTTTGTATCATACAACTTGTCAAACACACGGATAGACTTTCAATCATAAATTGTCCCATGCACTCACCCAATGCAACCATTTCAGCGTGCTTGTTTTTGCATGCACCCCACTTCAATTATATTTGTGTTTCAATATTGGTCAATGTAATCACCATATCACACCCTAATTTCTTTTATTCACACTTCAAATTCAAATCAAGTGATGAACAAAGTTGTTGTGACTTTGACAGGAATGGACCCATATGACAAAGGTAATAAATAATTAAACCAAACAAATAATTTATGGCCAATTGAATACTGGATTCGGTGATCGTGTATAAAGTATAATAATATAGTATAAATTAAGGAGATCTAGTGAGTGGTGAGAATCCATTTGGATGAAAAATAATATTTTTTTTTCTTTCAGGTATTATTGAGGGTATGGGTTGGAACATGTCATGCTGGCTAAATTGAAGCCGAATGAAATGAATGATACGAGAACAATTTTATCATATTATAACACAAAATTTATACACTTTCTTTCTTTAGAACTATTTAAAATGTCTATGTAATTTTTTTAAATGACAGTGGGGAAGCAAAGAAATGTTTCTCCATCCATAGAGACACGAGGAGCTGTGGGAGGGGCCAACCGGTTGTTACTACTTGTTTAGTGCTTCAATGAGTTGTTTCCCAACTGCAAGAGTTTGGTCACTGATATATATCTGAATCTCTCGTGAAGGGACAATTTTTTTTTCTTCTATTGTGCTATAGTTTCATAGTACTTACACTTTTTATAAACATGAATTTGATGTTTTGGTTGTTGTTTTCTTTGGTAAGTTCTACCTTCTCTGTCTTAATATAATATTCATTAAAATGACTTGTGTTACATGCAGGAAGCTAAAAGATCTGTGAACATAAACAACAAGCTGAGGAAACCCTTGATAGTTGAAAGAAAAATAGAAACTAAAATAAAGAGTGGGAGTTAAATATGTGTGAACACTGCAATTCATTATTCTTAACATATTAATTACTACAGGGTACCGATGGGTTTGGGGCTATACTTCACATACTGAACATGAACATGCCCCACCTCACCCTTTAAAAATATTTCTAAAGGGATGTTGATTAACACTAAAAAAAAAAAAAAAACTATTACAAAATATTACCTACGGATAAAAATCCGTAGGTAAATTTTACATTACCTACGAATATTATTCGTAGGTAAATTATATTAAACTAAAAGAATTGTCACAAGAATCAAATCCAGTATCTTAAAGTTGAAAACTGATACTCCAACCACTAAACTATTAGGATATTCTAATAATAATTTACAAATAAATTATAGTTATATTTATTCGTGAAATATATAAATATATAAATACATAAATATAAATATATAAATATACAAATATAAATATAAATATATAAATATATCAAAATATAAATATATCAAAATATAAATATATTTATATTTGTATATATTTTATATTTATATATTTACACGAATAAATATAAATATAATTTATTTGTAAATTATTATCAAAATATCCTAATAACTTAGCGGTTGGAGTATCAGCCTCCAATTCGATGTCTTGGGTTCGAATCCTGCCAAATGACAATTCCCTTAATCTAATAATAATTTAAAGTTTCAAAAATATAATAAATAATAAAAATATAATACAAAGGGGAAGGGGTTGTAGTAAATAAAATATTTTGTTTAGTGCATTATCTACGGATTTTAACCGTAGAGTAACATTAGCAGTTTTACGTGATAATAGCTTTTTTTGTAGTGTAATGTCATTTTATTTTTTATTTTTTTATCTGAAAATATTTTTTAAATTAATTATTTTATTCATAAATTATGCATTTAACATGTTTTTATTAAAGGTGTAGTATAATATAATTTTTTTTTAATTTGTTGCATTTTATATAATTTTAGTATAATAAATAATATACATGCATATATTCATATTACATATTTCTTTTTCTTCTTTTGTAAGAGAAGTAATTTGAGATGAATCAAATTGATGAAAAGAAATATATTCAAATTGATGTTGTCAAACTTCACTCTTTTAGAAGTCAAAGTTTGCTTATGCAGTTCACTTAAAGAATGTTACAAATGAAAATTTTGAATCAAACAATTTAATTGGTGCAGAAATCCAATTTAGCTGAATTAAAGGCCAACAATAATCAAGAATTAAATGCAAATCAGTGCAAGATCACTCAAAATAGGAAAGAATCATATTATTTTCTCTAAATCAATCCTAAAAATTTCCTTTCACAGCAATCCAATTTTATAATTAATTATTTGAGAAATATTTGATTTTATTGTAATTAATTTTTGACTTAATTTCTTTTGTTCAAATCTTTATAAATAGAGGTCTTACAACAACACACAATCATAATCTCCTAGGTGAGAACTATTATTTTGCCTCGTCCCCATTTTCTTTTTCTATTCTCAGTTCTTAGTTTAATTTTTAGTTATGCAAGTCATCTACTGCTATTGTATTTCTAGTTTATTTTATTTTATTTAATTTGCAATTTTTATTAAATTTTTTAGTTTATATTATTCTATTTACTTTATTTATTTGGTACTCATTTTAATTTTTAATATTTAATTGTTTAGAATTTTTATTCCAATACTACTTAATTTTCATTTTCAATTCATCTTTTTTCAATTCTAATTCTCAATTTAGTGTTAGAATTATCGTTTCCAAAAATTTTAAATTTGATTACTATACTACTTTATTTTTAAAAAATTCTTAATTCGTACACTTTAATTAAAAACACTTTATTTTAATTTTATAAATTTCAGTTATTTAAATTTTGCATCAATTTAATTTTAATTACTGCACTATTTTATTTTAAAGCAATCATTGGTTCTTGCACTTTTAATTAAAAGTACTTTATTTTAATTTTATAAATTTCAGTTATTTAAATTCTACTTTCATTTAATTTTAATTAGCATTAACATTCTATAGTAATTTGATTTTAATTTTTATTATTTTACATTAAATTTTTTTTCACTCTTTCATTTATATCCTATTTTCTATTTTGAAAAGAATGATATGTAATAATAAGTATATTCTTATAATTTTATCTTTGTGAGATTTGACACGAATTAGATATATCGCATTAATTTATTATCGTGTTTATTATGTTTTATCAGTATTTTATGCTACTAAAATGATGTTATTAGATATCAAATCTTTGAAAGTTAATAAGGAAACACAGTTGCACTGCTTCATATACTCCAAAGAGGATACATGTTGACTTCTTCACATTTGCTTGTAGTAAACCAGTTTCAGGCTAATTCACCTTAATTGGGTCATTATCAGCATTAGGTGGCTAATGAGGTAGAAAATGAAAAGTGAAAAGGAATATGTTGAAATCACAAGCAAGATTAATACTATTAACGTTTGAGTGTTCCAGAGGGGCAGAAGGAATAATAAGCAGAGTGGATCAGTGGATCGCGGTGATCAAGTTAGCTAGTTGTCTTCACTATAACCAATGTTGGTTTATGGTATACTTTTATGTGTGTGTGGCACATAAAGTGAGAGAATTACTTTTGCATAAGAAGAAAATCTAATTAAAGATTATTTAAAGTTGCAGAATTAGAGGAATGCAACTTTTTAAAAAATGTTCATATCTTTTATATGTTAAAAAGTGTTCACAATAACTTGTACCTTTTCCAGATTGTGAATTGAAGGTGAGAATTCAATTTTGTTTAAAAAAAGAATTAAAGTGGATCTTAAGTTTAAGGTCAATGGAAGTGTGTGCGTGGCCCTTGTATGTTTCTTGTTTTTTATTTGTTTTGTTTGGTTCTATGTATGTGTGGGATCATTGCAGCACATAGAAGCATAAAGGTACGAGTGATTATGCAGAAAATAATAATAAAATGTGAGGATTACACCATCCCATATAACTTGGAAATGATGCTCCCACTCCCTGCTGCTTCCTAATACACATACAAAAGCTTATTCGAATATTCATCTGGATTTCACAACACAGCAAACAAATACGACACTCTTCCCTAAACTACATAAATATAAGGACTTCATATGCAATTCTATTCAGTATATACAAAACCATTTTTAGATTCTCTTCTATTTGTTAGTTTGATATTTCAAGGGAAATTAATTATATTTGCAAATCACTTTCGTACAATTGTCTGTATAAATTAAGGACAGGTAAAAAGATAAGAGAGAAAAGTGTGGGATAAGATAAGAGACATTATTCAGAGAAATAAAGATAAAAAATGGCAGGATGGTTTTTATATAACATGAAAAAAAAAAGAATTTGAAAAGATTTATTTTATACTCATCATATTTAATAGCATCTTCACTAATGAAGATATAAAAAATATTATGAACACCTTATACTAATCTATACCTAAACAACGAAAGTCTTATTAACTAGTATCCTAAAAATACTGGTTGAAGAATTTCAAGGAGAAAGCGTTTACAAGTGAAACAAAAAAGTTTTTTTTTTTTAATTCTTTAAGAAATATTATTAGAACACTTGCTAGCATTGTCAAAACGTAGATATAAAAGTGAAATAAATGTAAATTTAATAAATAATATGATGTAAAAAGAAAGGGAAATATATATATATATATATATATATATATATATATATATATATAAAATATCATTATTAGATATATGTTTTATGTGGGTGTTCATTACTAGAATATAGAAGATATTTAACATTAATCATCACACTCAAGTGTATTAAACATAAATATTTATTTTTTTATCACAAAATAACTATTATATAAAATTTAAACATATTGTATGTCTTTGTCCTTTCATTAAACATCTTTCTAATATTATACACTTCTAAACTAATGCACTTAATTAGCTAGTGAGCATATGTCGTGAGTTATTTTTTCATGCTTTCGTTTAAGTTTTAATTAAATTATTTTCTAAACGTATTCGTTGACCTTTTTTTTTTCATGGGTTGGGTTGGAATAGTTTGAATGAGGTCCTAAGTTAAAACCTCTTAGAATTTTAAACTAATACGTTTGTCATGATCTAGGATTTAGAGGAATTTTTCTCTTGTTTCTGAGGTTGGTCAATTTGGCATGATAAAACTTCTTGTTGTTCTAATTAAAGTGCGTTATTTGGCGAATGATGTTTGAGACAACAATGCTACTCTCCAATACTACCAAGAAGACTTCATGGATAAGGTTGTGGCTACCTGCAAAAGACATTTTAACATTCAAATTATAAACTATTTTACCAAAGTAACAATGTGTGTATTTACCTACTACAATGATGCTTGTATTTATGACTAACATAGTGCGATTTTGGATCGAGATTTAATTCATTATTCATAGATATATTAGGACTCATGGGTGAGTGTCAACCTTAGTCAACACCCAATTATAAGATCCGATTTTGTGTTGTGGATTAAGGTACAAGTTTTCTTTAGTTTTGATTCATGGAAAATCTTAAGTATTTAAATTTTTGTTATTCAAGCTAGATTCAATCCGAATCCAACCAATTAAACCTGATGATGATGACTAATTTGAGCATTAGATTTGTCACTTTAAAAATCATATGAAGCAAATAAAATTAATTTTTCTATGATTAATTGTTTAATCATAGAGTTTTATGGTATAATATATATATTTAATATTTGTTAATTGATGTACGGCAATTATAATAAAATAACATTAGTCAATTTATCTAAACTTACTCAACTTGTTATTGGTGGAGTTATTTCAGTTCAAAATATGCAAAAAAAAAAAAGTATATGAAAAAAGAAGAAGTTAACGAATACATTTTAATTTATTCAAGCTTTATTCCTCTCAAACATAAATATATCTGTGAATGTATTATACAGATTGAACCTTTAATTCTCCACTTTAGAACTCTTTTAATTTTAATAATGTAAAAATAAAATATAAAGTTAACCTTTCATTTCTTTTTATTTGTAGACAACTACAATAAAAATTTAGAGAGATTAATTAATTTTTCATCAGATTCTAACAAAATGATGAATTTTAATATTACTTCAATGACTAGACCAGTGATATGTAAACCTAAGCTAGGACGTTAAGTAAAAAAACAAGAATTTACGTTATAAACCTATCGAACACCCAAACTTACTTCTTAATTCCTATTTACGAACACAATCTATCCCTTCACTATCAAGCCAAGAAAAGCAATCGCTGTTTGGATCTACATTCACTTTCCATCAAAACCCCATTTTTAGTTGATAAGAATTATAGAAATTAGATAAGATAGATGTACCCCTTTTTCTTTAAATGTCGATAAGATATGATGTGCAATTCAATGTTGGTGGAATAATTAAAGTGAAAAGGTGAATGAATTTTAGGACTCGTAACTTTTTTTTCTTTAGGGTTTGTAAAACTATGCCCTAACTGTTAACAAGCATGAGGTGATATTTTTATTTTTTTCCAGTGACATCACATCAGTTAATTAACCCTTATGTCAAGGCGTTCTCTACTCCTTTAGACACATGAACATGTGGGATCCCCAATCCCAATCCTCTGAAAAACCCTTTTCCAAGCTTGATAACAAAAATAAAAAAGCAAAAAACAAACCAAAAAAAGAGGGTTAGTGCCAAATCTAAATCATATACATAGGCTGTATAAAACAAAAGAACCAAAACTGTTCCCTTATCAATCAGTGGAACGCTCCGAAAAGAAGGAAGAAAAAGACTAATTTATAAAGTTTATTATGTACACAGATACGGAAAATTGGGATATTTAATAATTATATATGGTCACAAAGCAAGATTAAAGACTTTCTTACGTGACACATGCAGCTAACTGGATCTGCCTTTTTCGTTTTATAGAGCAAGCTTGTGTGGTATAGAGTGCAAAGACTAGACTTGTGATTGGGACTAACTATCCTACTTGCTTTAGTTTGAAGTGGGGCCAAACACATGCAATGCCTTGGGCCATTAAGATACCCCTAATACAGACACCTGGCTTATAGATAATAAGATAATTTTGGTCTCACAAAGATATGGCACTATTATCTTCACCAAGTGTTTTTGATTTGATTTGTTCTCTCCCAAATTGACATTTGAAATTTTGTCCCTCTCTAATCCTAACCTCCTATATTCTTTGAATTTTTCAACATATGAACCATAATGAGTGTGTATAAAAGATTAAAAAAAAAATCATTTAAAAGAAAATGTTTATACTCCCTTTTGACATGTTCATTATATATATATATATATATACATACATGTTCAATATAAATATATACATACATGTTCATTATAAATATTTGCACTTTTGACAATCCAAATGTAGCTAAGTTTAGCATGCTATAAAATTAGCATCACAAACATGGGGACTAGTGATTGTAGCATTGTTTACAATTGGAACAACATTGCTGCAAATTCTTAAAACACATCGAATTCTTAAGTAATCTTAACATTTCCTGATGTATTGTTCTTTTTAAAGGTTTATATTTTTTTTTTACCACGGTATTTAAACCTTGTAGTTTCTTTCTTTTTTTCTTTATTATATAGATTTTTGTACTATATAATTATATAAATACATTTTCTTTTGCATTTTCTAGTATCGACAGTATACGTACATACCCACAGTTCTGTGGTTGTACACTTTACATGAACACTGCGGTACCATTTTGTTTTATATTATGTACTGTTGTAGAGTTTGAGATTTAGTAAATAATTCCGTGTTTAGGCAAATGAATTAACCAAACTTTGGGTTTGAATATTTGAAAAGGCATTCAAGTCAAGTGATAATTCATAAATCATAAGAACATTTTGTATATTATAGAATAATGGACATCAAATAAGTTAGTCATTTTTTATTTCAGCTTATTACTTGATTATTCATAACTAACTATATGTATATTTTTAGTCATGTTTACTTCTAATAATATTGGTTAACATATAAGATGTACTTACCAAATAATTCAAGTTGAGAGTATATATTAAAGGGGAAAAATAGATCCCATATCTTTTAATTTCTACACTCAACAATAAATGAAGTTTTCAATGCTAATAACGTCTGTAGCATTAAAATCACCCAAAATAATTGATTTTTTTACGACTGATTATTATATTTAAAATGGATAAAACTAAAAAAAATCATAAAAGAAAACTGATAATAATTTTAAAATGATTAATTTTTTATTTTTATTTTTTCAAAATAAGATACTGATAAAATCTATTATATTTCTTTCTTTTAAATTTTTAATATCATTCTTTTTGTTTGCTTTGTAAAAAAACGCACCATGTGCGAAGTTTACTTGGTTAAGCGTATAAATTGTATATTTGCATTCTACAATGAAAAAATGTGAAGGGCACCTCGAAGAGAGGGAGGGAAGGAAGAAAAGGGAAAGCGTGGAAGGTGGAAGAAGAGTCACATGTAAACTTGGGCATAAAAGAAAATAATCCTCCTCATGACAGACAAAGATGGAGTGTGTGTGAAGCAGAAAAATGTTAATCTCAAATTCTTAATCTTATGTGCCACACCCATGTACCACCTTAATACATACTAACTTCGTGTTTTTATTATTATTGGTTAATTTTATGAGATGTTATGTTATGAGTTGCAGTCACTGTCAGACACCTCACGGGTCTTAGCAGACACCAGCTACACCCAATTACATCATTATTTTTGTTTCATCTCTTTGACCGCCTCCAAGTTGTGAGTGTATACGTTACCATGTCACTAATTCACGCTTAATTACAATTTTTTTTTTAACATTCTTTACTGCTTTTTCATGGAATAAACTTTTATATATATAAAATATGTTAATGACGAAGAGTACACTAAATTTAGGATGACTAATATCCATTAAGAATCAGATTAGCCATTTCTAGTTAAATAATAATATTTGTATGCTTTAAATAAAATTAATTTTTAAAATATCTTTACTAAAAACAAATTAGTATTTTAATGAATTTATAAAGTCAACCTCTTTCAAGATTCTACATAACTTATTGTTCTAGTTAAAGTACTTTTTTATTTTTTTTACAAAAAATATAATTTTAATCGACATTAAAATCTCACAAATAACTTGCCTACAAGTTTTGATATACAGTGTGACTTCACAATAATGTACTTTATTATATATTATTATGTAATAATATTATATATATATATATATATATATATATATATATATATATTATAGGCATGTACAATATAATATTATAAATTTCAGTAAAATAATATAGTATAATAATTTACTTTTTTAAAATATATTTTTTAATATGACTTGAATTTAATGTCTTTAACTATAAACATATTTAATGATGAAAAAAGAGTATATATAATTTTAATATAATAATATTAACAAATTTTATAATTTATTTACTTACAAGGTTGTGATTGGTTATTTTTTAAATATAATTTATAATTTAATTTTTTAATAAAACAAACTTTAATAAAATTTTAGATACGTTATACTTTATAAAAATATTTGACCTGAAAATTTATAGATTGGGGTTATAGATTCTTATTGAAGAAGCTAACCTATACCAAACATCATGGACATTAAGATTGTGTATGATTTTTTTTTTTTTTTAATTTGTTTTGGTTAAAATATGGCAAATCGTATTTATTAAATACAAATTTTTAAAAATATAAAAGTTTGTAGAATATCAAAAGTTCATACTTTAAAAGAGGATAATATAAAAAAAATTTAAAATAATAAGCTAGTTTAACGATAATTCTTTTTTCTACTTTAAAGTCTATATGTTTAAAATAAGTGTTTTATTTTAATTTTTTATCTTTGGCACACCCTCGTAAAAAATAAAAAATAAAAAAATCAAACATGATTATTACTGATAATTTCTATAATGATTTATTCTTTTTTTAATTTATGCTAGGGATTCTTTAATATATTTATAATACTTATTAAAAAGTTATAATTTCAAATTATTCAAAAGATGTTATAAACAGTTTCTAACACATTTTATAAACTGATGATGACATAGTTTTCTTAATAAAATAAATAATTTGTAAAAGTACAACTCAATAAATTGTTTCTTGCACAATTAGACAAATAAAGTAGCTATTTTATTCATTAACATCTTTAAAAAAACATTAATAAACTAAATAATAAAGAATGCAATTATTTATTAAAAAACTATAATACATGGTATCATCAAAATTTACATGTCAAATATACATTAATATATAATACACACAAATAATTACATGTTACAATCATAAATCACATACATAATTATATACATTGTTTTCTTTTCTTCGTACATGAATACCAACGTAATTCAAAACTAATATGCGCATCTTTTAAGTTTATTCTGATGATTATTTGGCACCTATATAATTATAAGCTTACGTTTTATAATACATGATTGTTGTAATTTAAAAAAATAAAAGACAAGTATAAATGAATAAATCAATACACGAAGTATATTGTGATAAATTAATATTTTTAAATTTTACACCTTATCTCACCAAAACCATCATGTTAAGTCACATTAGTAACACCACACAAACAATTTACACATTTCAAACTTTTCATGACTTCAACAGGACTATTGTGAAAATACAATATCTCAAAAAAATATAATATCTAAAATATCCAAATTTATAATTCAAGCAATTTATAACTATACAATCATAGTCACATTCCAACTCACAAACAAAAACCTAAATTCAAACAATTTTACAAATAAAATTTACCGTACTCAATCGTCCAAACTTATATTCGACTTAATATTTTTTAAACCTACTCAACGAAAGTCTTCTAACCTAATCTACAATTGAAATCTAAGTTAATTTATCTTATTTTAAATATTTTATAGAAAATTCCTCAATAGTATCCAGTCTCTACTCCTACTATATATAAACAATATATTTCTTTAACATCACCAAATATAATTACTAAATTTCCTGTAATACGATTTTGTGAAAAAAAAAAAAAAACATAAACATGGATGTTCTTAAAATTCACATGCCGAAAATGGTAGCATAACAATAATAAAGATGAACGAAGACAAAGGTCAACTGCAAAGCCCATATATCTACCCAAGGATCATGAGAAAAATTGTAGGAAAAAAAAAGAAAAAAAAAAATTGGTGATTCCAAGGTCAATAAATTCCCCGAAAATATATTATTTTTTTTAGGAAATAAGGCTTTAGGTTAAAAACATGTATACCATGATTCTATTTTCATAAGTTATTTGTAAAGTTTTTTGGGCCACTTATAATTTGGAGAACATTTCAAGAGATACATATATACGTTGACTTGTTTATTCCATTAATTTAAACAACTTGTTTCACTAATTTAATGTCATTTTGAAATATTGCTTTAAGTAGTGTTTGAAGTTTTAAGCTCTTAAACCTTTTCTTCTTCGTTTTTATCCTTCTTGCCTTGTTGAAATTTATCATTTTCCTTCCATATGTTTAAAAACCCGTAATAATCTCTTCCAGTGCTCTTACTCTTAACAAAACAATTTCTTCATAAAATTATCATAGTTATATTATAATTTATTTAATATATCATGCATTCAAACTCATTTTATCGAATATATTTTTGATATTAGAAAAATCACCATATTATTATCCTATTTTTTTAATGTGATAAAATATTAAAACAAACAAAAAAATAACAAATTGTAATTATTTACACAAAATATACAATATAATTGCTAAATTTTGAATTAAATGATTAAATATGTTTCGCTTTCTTTCTCTCATTTATGGTTATCAACCACTTTTTTGAGTTGCTTACCACAGTTGGTTTCAATAAACATTTTAATTTAATTAACTAAATTATATTTCCTAACTAGCTTATTTACAGTTTTAAACAACTCTTTGAGATTATTTTATTTTCTTAATATTTTCAAAATAAAAACACAATAAATATAGGATTGGTTTATTCAAATTTCAAAAATATTTTTTGAAAAAAATAATATCAAATAAAAGTTTCTTATCAAAATAAACTGAAAATACTTATTTTAAATAATCTTAGAAAAATAAAAAATACAAATATATTTGTTTTGTTAAATAAAGAAAACAAACAGTTAGAACAAAATCTGATAAGTACTTAGTTGACGTTATTATATGATGCGAATTAAAATTTCACTCCTATGATTATGGTGCTTTTTATATTAATTTAAAAATAAGATCAGATCCTTCTGACACCTCTCACGATACTTGATGATAACAAATATTTCAGAGATTATAGTCAAGTTTTGTTCTTTTGAAATTTTGAAAATGACAAAAATTCTCAAATACATTTAGTATTATTCTTTAATTTAAAAAATATTTTATTTTAATTTGACCTTTAAATGATGTTTCAAAATAAAATATAGAAATAAACGAACAACTGTAAAACTGTATAAAAAATTACATCTAAATTTAATTCAATTAAAAATATTAATAAAAGATTAGAAGTCAAAACAAAATTTTCGTATAGAAAAATGCATTTCCGTGATTTATAATGCATGTCTGTTATAATTTAGAACAGAATCTATGTATAGAATGATTTTTTAATCAATATCCTTCTTACACTATTGACTGAACCTTAGAAAATTTAAAGAGGAATTAAAAATTAAGAATTAAGATTAGTTACTCCTATCTTTCTCCTTCCAATTGTTTTGAAAACATTGCAAAACAATTACCAGTACTAAATTACGACAGCACCAATTCAAGAATTTGTTTTAGAAAATAATATCATTATAAAAAGTGAGTTAATTTAATGATTAGTTGTGAATGACCAGTTAGAGGCACATCATATAATGTCTTTGACGAGGATTCGTGTTACACATTGAGACACATTTTAACTGCAATGGATACAGTACACATAATAGCGCATTCAGGCACATCATCATTCTTTCGTGGTGTGAATAACAACACTGAAACGAGATTTTTCAAAGGGGGAAAATAGAAAGAAACACTGCGAAAGAGAAAGGAAAACATTGAAAGATAAAAAATTCATGATTACGCAGTAAATAGCATTTATAACGCGCCCCAGTTTCCCACTCATCGTCGTCAACTGCCACCCTGTCTCTCTTCCCTTCCGCTTCTTTCAAACTTCCCCGCGATATATTGCCGATATTTTGACGCCCCTATCCACTCGCGAAAACTCCCCCTCCCTCAGTATCTCCCCAAAAAGTTAAGTATGTAAAACGAATAGCAATATAGAAAAGAACAATGGAGTGAGGACGAAGAAGCAGACTCGAACTCAAACCTGCTTCTGCTCTTCACTCCTCTCATGCTTCAACTTCAACCACTCTCTTCCAAGGTTTTTTTTTTTTTTTTAAAACTACTTCATTTGATTTTATTACCGTTCTACCCACCTCTTTATTGCATTGCACTGCCTCTATTTATCTCTCTCATTCCCCCCCAACAAATTTTTATTCATTCACTTCCAATTGCAGCAACCCAAACCTCACACTCACCTTTTTTTTTCTTTTAAGAAAAAAACAATCTTTTTATTTATTTATTTATTACTATTAAATTAGATAAACATTATTTTCATATCGGTATATTTAATGAATGCTTCTTTTCTCATTCCTCACCCCTCTCTATTAATTAATCTTCCTTCATTGAACTGCTTCTTTCTTAGTTTCAGAGCTCCTCGTCTCTCCGACCTTTGCCTTTTTCTCCTTCATTTGTTTGAGAGCCCTAAACCATTATTCTGCTCGTGTCAATTTCAAATGCACTTTCTGTTCTAATGAACAACTGAAATAAGAATCAAGAAAGAGTGAGAGGGAGAGAGAAGGTTTGAAAATGCGTGTGAAGGAAATGCACCCCTTGTGCTGTATCTCGCTGGAGAGTCCGGGGATCGGGAGCGACTCGCCTGAGCCAGACGCAGCTGCGCTCTCGAGGACAAGGAGTCTCCCGGCCGGTGGATCTGATGGCATTGCTCGGCGGGGATCGGAGGTCACGGTGGCCGGAGTTCTCTACAAGTGGACCAATTACGGCAAGGGATGGAGATCCCGCTGGTTCCTCCTCCGCAATGGCGTCCTCTCTTATGCCAAGATCCCGTGGCCGGAAAATCTCAACCTCCTCTCTCCGGTAGAAGGTGTGCGCCTTATCGGAGAAGTCACCGCCAACCGCCTCGCCAGAGACGCAGTCACTGTGCGTCGGAAGAATCACAAACCTCCTTCCTCGTCTTCCTCTGCCGTAGTCCATCTCAAGGTATATGATTGTTCAATTTTCATTATTATTTTTTTTAATTATTTGTTTCGGTTATGATTATGGAAATTTACTAAGGTTTATCTTTGGTGCTGATCTGAATCACTCGTTATAGTGTGGGTCAGGTCTCGGTCTAGCTTTGGCAGTGTCGTGTTCACATTTTTGGCACTACCTCACTGCAACTTTCCTGTAGAGGCAACAATCTTTCTTTTTATTTGATAAATAAAATAAAGTATCTCTCTATGTATATATTATAAACTTTTCTGTTTTAATTTTAGGATTTCACTTCATTGATTTCGACCATGAAAATTATCAACGCCCTTTCAGATTTAGATTGTTCTTTTGACAGTGTAAAAAGGGTAGAAGAAACCCTGAAAGAGGCTTTGATGCCCGAGCAATAACACGGAAACCCGCTGGTTTCAACCAAGTTTTGCTTCTAGTTTTTAGCTTGTTTATTTCTCTCTCATCTGGTTTTCTTTCCAATTCAAAGTTGCAATGCAATGCCACTTTTTAATTCCTGTTTTACAGTTTTAACTGGTTGTTAATGTGTAGTGGGTCACATCAACAGGTGGCCGCGAAGGGTAGGGATAGCCTACTATTAGCTCTATGGCATTAACTTGCGGTCACGTCATGCCTCTCTCTGCCTTCCTTTGGTTCGCATTGGTTGAAATCAATCTGTCTCTGCACCTCTGCATTAAAATTTCACTGCGTCCTCCTTGCTTGCACTATTCTATCATCAGTTCCTTGCCTTCCCACTTTTTCATCCCCAACCCATTTTTTGCAAACTTCAACCTTTTTTTTCTCTTTCAATTTTAGCCCATCAAAGTGAAAAGTCTAAAGAAAATAACACCAATCTGGAAACTGGAATCTATGGACAACTTGCATTGGTTTTGCTCTTCAGAGTTTTTTTTTTTTTTTTTTTATCTTTGAATAGAAGGGATTAAAGCTGAACGCCTTACATTCTAGAGGAGAAAAAACAAATATTAACAGTGCGATGATAGAATGAAAGGTGTAATTAGGGATCTTGCACTCTGTGTATGCGTGTACATGTGCGTGCACCTCTTCCAGGTGTGAGCTTCTTTGTATATTGTAAAGCTTTACATGTGAAAAGGCATTTTGGTTATTAATTTTTATTTTCTATTAGATATATGCAGTAAGGAAAAAAAAAGTGAAAACATATGGAAAGGTCCCCTCTTTTGTCTTTGTCAACAGAAATATGTTTATGTGGGACTTGCCACCAAGGTGGTGGGGTATCACCCAGTTCACTATATAATTTATTTTAATCTTTTGAAATGGGTGCTGCAACTGTTTAAAGTCAACATTAAGAGTCATTCTTCTTCTCCTCCAGTGTAAAAGAAAAATAAAAGGAGGTTGGAGACAGTAAGTTTGGTTTTTTACATCATTACCTTCCTTCTATATATCTCAAATCATTCTAGTCTAGTAATAGTAGCATCATACCGTGATGCCCCGGTGAGGTAATTTCGTTTTCAAGCTTTCTGTATAAACTTAATTTGTCTTCTCAAGGTGGGCTCTCTTCCCCACTTGTGCTTCTCATGGGGACATGTTTAATAATAATCTTCCTCGCTCTACTGGTAGCTGATAGTTGCTGTTGCTGCAATGTTTCCTTGTACTCCTAACATTGTATATTTGAATTAAAAGAATTTAAAATCTCAATTTGTCACACGCGGTTAGATTTTACTGTTCATGTTATTAATTCTGTCCATTATTTTAAGTAGAGGAGAAAATTGGATATAATAACTGTGCTTTTTCAGATATTTGAAATTGAAGTTATCTTGTACGAATTTAAGCAGATCTCATCGTTCAGAGAGAGCAAGTCAGACGATAGACGGTTCTATATATTCACAGCAACGAAGACTCTCCATCTGAGAACTGATTCGAGGAAGGACCGTGTGGCGTGGATTCAAGCTTTGGTTTCAACCAGAGAATTGTATCCACTTCGACCACTCAGCGACCGTCTCTCCCTTGTACCGAATCATATATCTGTATCAACTGAGAGGCTTAAGAAACACTTACTTGAAGAGGGTAGCAGTGAAAGCCTTGTTAAGGAATGTGAGCAAATCATGTTTGCCGAGTTCTCCGAATTACAAGAGCAACTTCAGATCCTATGTCAAGAACGAAGGAATTTGCTTGATACAATAAGGCAACTGGAGGTAATTTTATTACTCCTTTGTGTGCTTTACCTTTGGAATGCACTATTAATTTACTCCTCACACAAAAACTCCATCTTAAATTTGGTAGAATAACATATTCCGCATCTCTAAGCAATGAAATATATTACAATAAAATAGAAAAAAAAAAAGTTTTTAGTTGTAACAATCACACCAATTATATTATCAACATCTTTATATATATATATATTAAGTTCTGTGATGGATGAGGCACAGTAGAAGTTTATATGTGTGCCCATTCCAAAGTCCTTTTTTTATGTAATGAGACATTTATTTCTTATACTTCAGCTTTCACTGTTTTATACTTTGTTATTTCAACTTTCAATTTTAGCTCCTCAAATTTATACTGATTTGATTAATACTTAATTAGTATAGGATTTCTATTCACGTGTTCATCGAGGCATGGTAAAAGTTGAATAAAACGCTTTTCCTTATTTTTGGTCTTGTCCAATACACATAATTATACCTTTGCAATGTGGAGATAGAGTTTTAATTTTCAATAGATTTATTCTCTAAAATTATTTGTGTATTTTTTTTTTACAGCTGGTTATTGAAATGACTGTAATAGTGCATTATTACATTACATTATTGCCGTACTTATTCGGGGTTTGTAAAGCAGGTGGGCATATACTCTAAGTTATGCATGACTTTAGCTTCTTATGATAGGATAAGCTATTAATGTGTGTATATATAACACAAATCAAACTTGAGAATTAAAATTTATATATTTACAGTGTAAAACTTTGCAACTTTCATTTTATAACGACACTTCACAAAAAATACAAAGAGAGATAATTTCACACTACAATAAACTAATGGAACTCACTGCCAAAGGTTTCTCATCTTGGGAAAGTAAGAGGAGGGTTATTGTACACAACCTTATTCTTACAAGTCTTTTTTTTTTTTTTTTTTTTTTCCAAGAAGAACTAGATCTGATTGCATATGTTAGATCACATGGTATCTGTATAATGAACTATGGGTCTCATATTGATTATGATTTGCATCTCCCCTTCTATTTTTCTTTTTCTTCTTCTTCTTCTGCCTAGCATTATATCTGAAGTCTACTCTCTTTTCTCTATGTCAGCATGTGCTTAGTTTCTAGATTTGCAAAGTTTTGTTTCTCTGTATATGACTTACTAAACTAGTCTTTTGTTATTGATCATGAACAGGCTGCTAATATTGAACCTGAGGCCTCTGCCTTGCATGACAGTGAATACCAATTAACAAAGAATGGATTTTCAAGTTTAGGACGTGGAAAATATAGCGGTATTACGATATGTTTATACGTCTATTTATAATCTGTACATATGCTGCTATCTTTCTTTCTCAAATTTCATGTAATTAGCACATGATAGTATTCATATTTTAGAATCTTTGTTGTCTCGATATTGGTCCTAGGGATCTACAACTTTGTGACATGGACATGAAGAATATTGCTTATCATATCGCTTACCAACCATTTTTTGAATTATGGAAAGTATTTTGCTATTTATCATTAGAACATGAATCTATATTTTTCTAGTTTGAAATTCACTTGAGTGAATAATTTACTAGTAGCATCTTCTTCATGCTGTTTGCCTCTAAAATGAACATAGTTGATTCTTTAATATTTTATCCATCTTTTAGATTCAAATTGGCATGAAATTATTATTTCTAATGTCCATTTGATTAGATATGATTGCTTGTGTATTTTATGTTTAGGATAATTATTTTTCGGGTATAAAGTGTTTTGGTTAAATTACTATATTATTTTTAAATTAGTATAAAGAAAATAGTTATGAATCAATCCATTCATTGTTTTCTTTTATATTTGAAAGCATTTAAGAGGGTGTATTTTATGCCTTCAACCCATGCACCTGATGTACATGATGGGAAAATATGATTAATTTTATGGTAGATCGTGGTTCGGTTCAACTCCCAATACTTGGTTTATCCTGTTAATTGTAATGAACTTGATGAACATATTTATTTCAAATTTTGATGCATTAAAGCAGAAAAAATAAAAACTAATATATTCTTGTTTATTGTTGTCTCTAATGATCATATAAAATGCAATTGTCTTCTGATAATTGCAGAAGTATATCTTTCGGTAAATATGATTGCAATGAACCTGTCTACAACCTTTCATATATATTTTTAACATGCACTTTTGATTTTCCAGAATGCAGTACTACTGAATCATCGGATGATATTGAGAAACAGGAGATGGAGGAAGTGTCAGATGAAGATGAAATCTCATATTATGATACTAAAGAATATTTTACAGAACTTGGTTTTAGATGTGCGTCAACAGGAGGTTTGAATCCAATGAACATGTCTGGAGAAGTTAACACACAGTGCATTGATTTTGAAAGCAATCTTGTTGGGAATACTGTCAATGATTTTGGGTACCCTTCCATAGCAAGGCGAAAGAAGCTTCCAGATCCCGTTGAGAAAGAGAAAGGTGTTAGTCTTTGGTCAATTATCAAAGACAATGTGGGCAAAGATCTCACACGAGTGTGTCTTCCTGTATACTTTAATGAGCCAATATCATCTCTTCAGAAATGTTTCGAGGACTTGGAGTACTCTTTTCTTCTGGATAGAGCTTATGAGTACGGAAAATCGGTAAGATATACATCTTGCTCTTGATTGATTTATGCTTTGAAATTGCAACGTAAACTAGACAAACTTCAAACCAGTTTTGGTGTATAAATTTTTATTGTTTATTGATCTATGATAAATGAATTTATAGTGGGATGTTTGTTGTCTCGATGTTTATTACTGAATGGAATTTATGTATTATGTGGTGTTCTTCAACTTGCATTTGATTGGTCATCTTGATAAATTTAAGTCTGATTTATGATGAAAGGTTTGTTTCATGATATCAAATGAGTGATATTATGATATTTGTTTCATACTATTAAACTAAGGAGTTTCAATGACAAGTGCATCTTCATGTAAACATTATCGTTTCAATGGGCATATATTGGCCAATCATTGTTTTTTGTTTGAATTGACTACAGGAATCTTAATGTTTGGTGGATTTCATTTCCCTGCACTTAAAGACTTAAAGGGGAGGGAGGGGAGAAATAATAACATCTACATGACTCAATTAAATTCCTGACTACATTGAAATAAAACTATACCTCAATAAAATTTTGTACGAATCTGTGTTGTCTCGAGATGAATAAATCGTGAATAAATAAAATTTGAGTACATTCGAAATAAAACTATACGTCAATAATTTCATACGAACTTGTTTTTTATTGCGATTAATAGTTTTTATCAATTGCCTCGACAACTGATGCAGTAGACTTGTTTTAATAATCATTTGTCAACATTTAATTATGTTTTATTTAGCTTTCCTTTTATTCACTTGGAAGATGACATTATTTAATGCTATTGAATGTGGCAGTTCAACCCTTAGAGTTCTATTTTCAGGGAAATGGTCTCCTTCGGGCTCTAAACGTTGCTGCCTTTGCCGTTTCTGGATATGCTTCATCCGAAGGTCGTCATTGTAAACCCTTTAATCCATTGTTAGGGGAAACTTACGAAGCCGATTATCCTGACAAAGGAGTTCGCTTCTTTTCTGAGAAGGTTAGTTCCTTTGTGATTTAAAGATGCAGAGAATTGACCGAGATATAGGCTACTGTGTTACAGTGCATTTAACTCGGGCTAAAAATGTGATACAACCATAAATGTTTCAATATCTATGACTCATCCTTTACCTTGTAAAGATGAAATTTCCAGCAACTTACTTTCAAATAGAAATTTTTCATGTAGTAACTTTTAAAATAACAGAAAGTGATTGGGAAACTGATATTAAGAAACTGGACGTAACTGAAGAGGATGTTTTAATTGGTGGCATGCAACTTGCTCACTGAAAAATGTTTTTTGGTGGGGTGAAATTGCTTAAATTATTATTTGACCCAAAGATGGTGGTCCTATCCTATCATACGCACAACACCGCATACAATTTGCGGGTAAGTCCATTAACCTGCCAGTATTTACTGTTTTCTCAAACAACTGATTACGTGTGAAACAGGTGAGTCACCATCCTACTGTCGTTGCCTGCCACTGTGAAGGTAGAGGATGGAAGTTTTGGGCTGACAGTAACATTCGATCAAAGTTTTGGGGAAGGTCAATTCAGCTTGACCCAGTGGGTGTTCTGACCCTAGAGTTTGATGATGGTGAAATATTTCAGTGGAGCAAGGTTAAAATCGTGAAATGACTCTGTTTACATTTATGATGTATTCTAGCTAGTGCCAGTGACTTCGCTCTCTAAGCTTCACATTATAATATATTTATATGAAATTATAATTAGTTGTTATAATCGTTCTTGTTTCACCTAGGTTACGACAACAATTTATAATCTTATCCTTGGGAAAATATATTGTGATCATCATGGAAACATGGACATTCGTGGTAATCGCCAATATTCGTGCAGACTCAAGTTCAAAGAACAGGCAATTCTTGATCGAAATCCTCACCAGGTAGGAGAGTTATAATTATATTAGTAGCAACTGCTTTATCTCCTAAAGCCTGATTTATTATTTATAGCTTACTTACTACCAGCCTGTTCACAAGTCTAGGTTGGTTCGTCTGTATTTTTATTTTGCTGTCTTTTTGCCCCGCCCGTGGCCCCGCTCAGAATATCTGAAGGGAATCTTTATCTTCTGTGCTTTTTACCTAACAAATTGTTCATTAGAATGTGCTGTATGTCTAATTAGGTGCATGGCTTTGTTGAAGATATAACGGGAAAAAAGGTCGCAACATTATTTGGCAAGTGGGATGACAGCATGTATTATGTTAATGGTGAAGTGAATGTGAAGCCAAAAGATTGCACTTTGTCAGACTCAAACCTGTTGTGGAAAAGGACTAAGCCACCTTCTAATCTCACCCGGTACAATTTGACATCATTTGCCCTCACACTAAATGAGCTTACTCCCGGGCTAAAGGTATAATGATGTATCTAAACATTATTCGATGCACGTTTTCCTTTTTCTTCTTATGCATCTCTAATGGTTTGTTATAGCCTTTTCTGATCCCGGGTATTTGATCACGGATTAAAGGAGAAGCTTCCACCCACGGATTCCAGGCTGAGACCAGATCAGCGGCATCTAGAGAATGGGGAATACGAGAAGGCTAATATGGAAAAACAAAGGCTGGAAAAGAGGCAAAGAATGGTATGTTTGAACTCTTTCGCGCTTTGATCGAGAAAAGTGCACTCTCATTTTTTTCTTTTTCCTCACCTTGTACTCGTTGTTCTCGTTTGACCAGGCGCTTAGACATAATAACTAAAGTAAAATGTTGGTTTTGCTGTAGATAATATAGCCAATTTTTAATTTTTATTGTTAGTTTTGAATCTTATAAATTTGAATTTTTTTAATTGATTTCCATCATTTTTTATTGATGTGTACTTAGACATGTCTCATCATAAACTATCTCCGAAGAGTAATTGAAATGACATGGCTTAATGCATGTGGCATTTTGTGATACTTATCTTTTTAAAAAAAATTTATAGTTGTAATGTCAGTAATTTGTTTAATAAATAAAAATATATTGGATTATATTTGCAAAGATTATATATTTATGTAATCTTCATATTTGAAGGATTGTTTGGTAATTAGCTTGTGGAGTCTAAATTTTTGCAAAATTTGTTAATATACATTATTTATTTTTAGAGATTGTTTGGTAATTAGCTTGTGGAGTCTAAGTTTTTGCAAAATTTGTTAATACACCTTACTTATTTATAGAAGGTTGTAACTAATTATAGCTTTACAATTTTTTTTAAGTGCATCAAAAGTGTAATTTCTTAATATACTCTTAAAAGGTAAATATGTATATTTTTTGTATTATAATTATTAACTTACATCAATTTTTTGTGAGAAGGGATTTAGTTATTAAAAGGGATTTATTTTTCATTCTCATATTTTACTCTTTTTTTTTTTAATTTAATAGCTAAAATAAGTTATTATAATAGATTATCAGATTAAAAAAAATAATATTGAGGATGAAAAAGTAAATATCTTGCTTAGTAAGTAATAAGTGGAACTTTAACTTTAACGTGTAACTTCTTAAAATATAAGTGGAACTTAACTTCAATGTGTAACTTCTTAAAATATAAGTGGGTGTAACTTTATTGTGTAGTTGCACTTGTATGCTTAGTTTAGAAACATATGAGTTAAGTTATAACTTAATCTTAAAAAAAAAGTGTATGTAAATAAGTAAGCGTACAAGTCTGCTTGTGTAAGACTTATTTGTTTATAATCTGTCTGGAATAAGATTTTTGCATTTTGGTATCTTAACTTTTAGTTTTAAGTTAAATGTATATCTTATAGTAGTAGTAGTAGATTCGATATTTTATATTGAAAATAGAATAATTCTTTTTCTTTACTATGCCGATATCTGATGGTCATCGAATCTTTTTAATTTCGTTTACCTCTATTTTGATGGTCATGACGCTTTTCATACAGTCAAGGAAAATGCAAGAAAATGGTTGGCAGCCTAGGTGGTTCCACAGAGAAGGTGAAAACGGAACGTTTCGATATATTGGCGGGTATTGGGAAGCGAGATCTCTAGGAAGATGGACTGGATGCCCAAATATCTTCGGTGAGGTTTATGAAGGCAATTTTGATCCTTTAGGTGCATTATGATTTTTAGCTCAGGTAATATTTACATCTGTTCTTAAGAATGTCGATACTATTATACAAACAACTTGTACCTTATATACATGAGTGGGACATATCTTAGGTCTTAAAGCGCCAGTTCAGCAACTAACGTTCCTTTGGAAATGACATGCTCTTACGGTTTGTGTGTTGCAGACAATGATAATGACAGCAAAATATTGTGTGGAGGGTTTCTCTTGAACCTTCTTGCATGGCAGCAACTAGTTTTACTGAATCGAAGGGAGAGTATCCTTTTGGAACCTCAGGAAACTAGACTCCTTGCAGTTCTGGTTGGGCAGGTTTGTGGATTGGCCTTGTCTTTCGACTTTAACAAAAAATCAAGAAAGGAATACCATATATATAACAACAAACGATTCCATCTGAAAGTTTCCTAGTGATTTTAATTGCCTGCTGATGGTGAAATTTGTAATTAACCTGATGGACTTAGCATTACACGAACACAGCTTTCCGCAGAGATGAGAATATATTTGAGGCTGTTTCTTCATCTAGTTGAGAGAATATATTTGAGCAAAGATTTCAACTTATTGTAACACTTGTTAGATTAGGTTGTCTAGATTGTCAGCTTGATATTTTTCTTAAATTTTGTTAGTATGTAATTATGGGGTGTTAACTTATGTAAGATTCTCTCCCTTCATCCCGGTATAGCCACTGAATGGCCCAAAGACGATCAATTTATTTCATATTTGTTTTTATTTTCTAATTAATAAATGGATGAGATGTGTCATCTCCCTAAAAGTGTACTACTACTATGTTTCACATCAAAACCCTTGTATCACATAAGTGCATGTGCATGCCATGAAAATGGGACCTGACTGAGAGCAAGAATACTGGACCAAAAATAGAGACAACAAAAGCAACAATTTTTGTGCGCCTGCACTTAGCATCTACAAAATATATCACTTTCGTCAATAGCTCACTCATTGAGCTTGACTTTATGTTATCTTGGGAGATAATATTCTTGAGATTACTAAGTTCTGTTTTACTGGTCTGTTAATTAGTAAATATTTATTTTTTATTAAATATGTTGAATGTTTAGATATAATAATTTATTTTTGTAATCATCATTTTGTTCTTAATTTACAAATCAGACAGTAAAATAATGAAATTTTATTATTAAAACGTTCAAACATAATTTCAAAAGCATTTAAACATAATAAAAATATAACATTAAATCATTTAAATATAATTGACTACATATATATAACATTTAATTTTAACTAAGTTACATTAGTTATTTAAAAAAAAAACTCTTATGACTTTTACAGCATTTTCAACGAGAATTATTCCCAGAAGTTGTTAAATTTTAAACAATTCAATTGTGGGATCCATATTAAATAATTTTAGTCTTAAGCACTTTTTAATGAAAATGCTCTTAATAAATACGCTCATATAAATATCTTCTTAAATGTTTTACTTTTAAATTTTATCAAAATTAATATTATATATATATATATATATATTTTTTTCTATATTTTTTTTCAAAGATATATAACCTAATCTTATTGATCCTAAAAAAACAAATCTTCATAGAAAGATCCATCAAAAATTATTTTTATCTATAATACATATCATTCATATAAAAAATAACATCTAGTTGATAACTAAATTCAAAATAATTACAAACTTATATTAAAAATTTGCAAAGGACGTTATGATCACATGTTAAAGTAAAAATTGATCCACTTATTAGTGAAAATGCCAGCAAATTCAAATTTAAAAGAAGACATACAATTTTAGTTTAAATTTACTAGTCACATGAAAAAATGAGTGGACACAGAGTCATGCAAAACAATAAAAAGAATATCACGAACAATAAATTCCATAGCATAGATCTAGTCAATTGATGCAACTTAATAATAGATATAGCAACAAACTAAACACATAAACCAAAAATTACTCAACATATACATTCATAGTACACGAAGAAATATGAAAAATATACCACTAATTGTAAAACTTATATTATGAAGAATCAAAATACATCTAACACAATTAAAGACACATATAAGAAGGTCATGTGATTCTAAACACACACCAACGTAATATCACTCCATTGAGTCAAATGAACTAATATTTTTATCTCTAAATATATGTGATACCATCATATATAAAGGAAAACCCTCACAATTCACTTTCAACTAAAATAAAATATGCTATGAGTTAGTTGAGAAAACATAACTAATTATGGTGACCCCTTATCCCACTCATAAACAAGAAGTTTCCATCATAAAATCCTTAGGACTAAAGTAAAAGACCACATAGACCCTTTAACATAAATTTGCATTTATCCCAAAAAAATATAAATGAATTAATGAAACACATATGCACAAATACAAAACGCACAAATACATGTTGTATATCTTAGATCACATCACTTAGATTTAATAATGTTAAGTCACTATTTAGACTTCTAATAACTCATAAGTAACTCCTACATGTCAACATAAATCATAATATTATTAAAAGTCACACGTAAACAATATATAATTTATTTACACACAGCTATTCATGAAAATTACCACTTCACTTTTTATTTTATTTTTTTGTTATCTTTAATCATTTTTATTGTTCATTTATGAACTTTATTGATATGTATGATTATATAATCCTATTATGTTATTTGTTTATCTTGTTTGAAATCTCATAAAATTATTTGTAATTTTTATGTTAACCTAAAAATCTAGTTTAATAACTTACTAAACTTAAAATAAAAAGAAGAGAAAATTTCTCTAATCTTGTAAATTATTTGACTTTTGCTTATTAAAATAACCATAACTTAATTGACTAATATTCAAATATACAACATTTATAATATTTTTCCTAAGTATGTAAAAAAAAAAAACCTTAAGCAGAAACGTAGTGTAAATATATACGAGCACGTTTTCCACACCTTTATGAATGTAGCTACATCAATGTGGTGTGCTAAAATTATAATTAATAGTTTTAAATGTTATTTCCAATCTAATATAATTTTCATATATATATATATATATATATATATATATATATATATATTATCTTATAAAAAATTGTTAAATAAAAAAATGAAGTATTTAGGATATGTTTATTTCACGTTTCACGATTTTATTTTATTTTTTACTTTAAAATCGATTATCTAAATCAATTCTTCTCTGCTTTTTGATCAATTTATCATCTAAAATATATTGAATTTATAAGATACTAAAAAAAATTGTTTAAACAAATTTTTGGTTGTAATTTTCCTACAAATAGTGATAGGAAAATACCCATACGAAATTTATCTTGATTCTTTCTTTCTCAATAAATGAAACTTAGCTAGTCCGATGAACAGATCCACTGAACATGGGCCTTTCTGACCTGACCAACATATCTGGATTTTTCAATCCTATTAATTTTAAGACTTTTATTCTTAAAATTTATGATTCTACAAATGCCGTCCTCTTTTTCTAAATTGTGATCATTACGTGCCAAAAAAAGATTTCCCGTGATAATGGGCTTCTCTTATTCATACGTGACTTTGGGCTTCAGTCGTATGGATAAAAAAAATGGTCGAAAGAGATTTAATTAATTGCGTTTAATCGAATATTGATGAATATTTCACTAATGGTATCGTAAAAAAATAAAAAAATAAAAACTAAATGTTACAATTTATATCCAAATATTTTCACATCAAAATAATATTATTTCATCAGAAAAAATGACATTATAAATTTGTATATGTCCAATCTTCCAATTTTTTACAAAATCTTGGACACTTCATTAAACTTGTGAACAAATAATCCTCCGAATCTAAGATATTTTAGTAAACCTTTGAGACTAATGTTAACTTGGTTTTATCCTTCTTCTAGTAAGTAACAATTAAAATATTTGCACACTATATTTATTGATAAATTCATAATTAACTTTCAGTGATGAAAATGATTGGTATCACATAAAACTCACTGATTTATAGAAATTAAAATAATATATATTCAACATTTTGTTTTCTTTTTTATTTAACTTTTCAATCAAACTTTGTGTTCAACGTTGTATACCACAGCTATTAAAAAGCGGAGGAGTGAAACGAGAACTTAAAGCTAAGCATGGCAAACAGTGTCTGTTTCCTCCAACTCTATGCCCGCCTGAGCGAGCCTCTTGTCCTTGTAAACATACCCTTTTGCACAAAACAAGTACACCACTAAATTCACACCACTCAACACAGCCAGTAGCCAGTAGAAGTTGTGTAGTTTCCCCTCGTTAAGGTTGTCCGCAAGCCACGGTTCACGGTGGCGCGTCGTCTTGTGCACCAAAGTCACCAGCAAGGAACTAAGAAAAAACCCTAATGACAGCGTGCTCAAAAACAAACCCGTGCTCATCGTCTTCATCCCCTTCGGACACTCCCTCAGGAAAAAATCTAGCTGCCCTATGTACGTGAATGCCTCCCCTGCCCCCACGAAGAAGAACTGTGGAACCAGCCAGAACACGCTGATGGGAACCACAGCGTTGTGTTTGTGCGACAAACCGTGCACACTTGCTACTCTCAGGCGCTTTATTTCGGTGAGTGCTGCAGCCACCATGGCGAAGATTGAGAGCACCAACCCTACTCCAATGCGCTGCAAAGGGGTTAGCCCTTGTGGGTTTTTTGTTACTTTTTTGGCTATGGGAACGATGATGCGGTCATAGATGGGAACTGTAATGAGAATGCTTAAGACGAAGAAGACAGTGAGTGACGCTGCTGGAATTTGGAACTTGTTTCCGATGCGGCGGTCCATGGTGGTGGCCTGTGATACCGAGAACGTGGTCATTTGGGCGTAGATAGTCCAAAACATGATGGTGGTGGCCCACACGGGTAGCATTCTCTGCACCATTTTAACTTCTTCCACGTCTGTTAGGGTTGAGAGATACCACTTCCTCTCCCTCATGATTTCTTGGCCGTCTGTTTTCGGGTCCTTGATTGCTGCCTTGTCCAAGAACCTACTCACATTAATGTGAAATTATTTAATTCTCCAAAGAAATCACCACTCAATAATCATCGTCATAATACATGACGTGGATAGTAATTATATTGTCACGTGAGAAGCATTTAATGGTAAATGGTAAATGTACATGGAAGATTAATGGTAGTGCAGTAGATGGAAGGGGAGCTATAGAATAGAATTAGAAGGAGCAATGACGAAGTAGGGTTTAGACAGAGCTATGTCCGTCCGTGACTGATAGAAAGAGGTAGCTGAGGAAAAGAGACAAAGGAGATGGGGTAGCTGCCTATGTCTGCCCTTCCCACACCACGTGATTCCTCTCTTCCTCACTTTTACTGATAACCACCAGGGGAATGAAACAAGATGAAGTTGGGAATCCTGTACATTTTGTTGCATCGAGGTGCAATAGAATACATTTAGAATATGTGAGTTGATAAAAGCGCATTATTATCAATTTTTACTCTTTTTTTCACTTATCTATTTTTTCTTCTATTTAAAAGCTGAAAATATAATTAAGTGAAATAATTAGCAAGATTACCCGACAGAATATAGCTCTGTCTCATTTTAATAACTTGTCTAACTCAAATGTAAATTAGTGAGTCAAATAAAAGCAAAGCTATGTTCTCCGTTGGAATTAACGGGTGATATGATGACAACGGATGGAGAAATTATGAGAGAGACATTTAAGACTTAATAATTTATTTTATTCTATTATTCTTTAAAAAATTTGTCAAGTTTTTGTTGAGTTCATAAATTTTCCTCAATTAATATCGGTTAATATAATAATCTAAAGTGAGATTAACGTAATCATGTTTGTTGAATAATATTGATAGAATTCTCATAAGAAAAAATAGAACGCAGGAAATCAGACACGTGACATGTCTAACACAAGAATATTATGGATTAGTAAGTATTGCGTTTAACGCAAAGATGACAGCAACGTGGTTAGAGAGACATATCTATCTATATATTCAGTGTTAGAGGTTTGAGGTGGTGGATGAAAATGACAAACCAGTGAGCAGAGGAACCGAAAACTAAGCTTAGTTGTCTATTTCAGACCGACTTTTAGTTCCAATAATGAAGACTCCAAGGTCGAATTTTCGCACTTATTATAAAACTGAACTTCCATTATTAAATAACTTTGGGACCCTACCCTCAAAGATAATGCCGTGCTCGCCATTCCACCACCAAACTCTGTCCTGTTATGCACTATACCTATTCCTCCCCAACCAGGAGATTCAACTACTGCTTCAATTATTTATAAACATTTCTATCAAACTTAAAAAACCTTCTAACAGTTCTAAACCGGCACGCAATGATAATCTTTTCACGTTAGCTTAAATAAGATACACCAAACACTCAACATATATGAAAAGGCAGTACAGTATACAATCTATATATAGTATCTGCTCACCATTTCTGTAACAGTGAACATTCAAAATATTGTTTCATGTAGCAGAAAGATAACGCGTGGAAAGGAAAAATGATCTATCATGTATCTGATGATATGATATAATATAATAATAATAACAATAACCAATAATGATGATTCAACAGATATGAACTAAAGGATTTAACAGCTTTAAATCTAGAAAATTAAAGCACTTAAGAAATACTTATTATTAATTAAAAGTTGACTAGGAAGATTATGGTTAAATTAAATTTTTATTGTATACATGTTAAATTTTACCACAAATTTTAATAGTTGATTTGTTATTGCTTAAAAATAGATAGGTTTTTTAATTAATGGTTGTATATGTGTTTTATCTTTTAAAGTGGACACGTTCACTTAGAAATAAAGTCTTAGATTTATTTTGAAGTGTGAGAGAATATAAGATTTCTAATTAGCTGTTCAACTTACACTAAAAAGAGCATATTAATATCAAAAAGTTTTTACATTATCACAATTTTTTTATGATTTAATATAATTATTATAAAAAATAGCAAACCTACCCATGAAATAGGGTTGGTGCGCGTACAAGAAAGTTAAATTCTCATTATATTTTGTTTTATCTAATTCTCATTGGGTAAATAGAGGATAAGACCTGGGTTCCACATAATTTTTTAAAGAGATCAAAATAAAATAAATTTCTGTATGGAATAAAATTAATTTATATAGAAATTGAAAAAAAAATTATATTAAATTTTCTCTAAATTAATTTATACATAAAATAATTTTAATCTATAAAAAACAAATATTTTTAGTTTTTCTCATTTTAAAAAATATGAAAAAACTCTTCAACAACCAATATTTACAAATAGAAATAGAAATATTTATTTATTTAATAAAGTGTCCACGTGGTAGTACATTAAAAGTAATACTTGAGGTGACACTACCATTACATTATTAAAGATTAACTGACTATTCCAACCTGTTCCTGGTCAAAGCAACCGACCATATTCTCCTAATGCTTTTTCAATACATACTTATTAATTCATAAGATGTTTTTTATTTTAAATTAGTTTTAGTTTTAAAGTATTATATTTTAATATATTAATACATCATTTTTATTCTAATATTAGCTAATTCATATTGTGCATTTTAAAACTAAAAAAAATATAAAAGTTAGAAGACTACAAGTCTTTAGAGGAGCTAAAAGTTATTCTATTCTTTGTTATTATAATTTTTTTAATAGATCCGATTATTTAAAGAGCCTAACTTAAACTTTGTCTATATGATAACTGTCTTTTAAAAAGATATAATCAGTATTTTAACGTAAGAAAATTAAACATAGTAAATTATATTGGTATATTTTCTTATTATATAATCAATATATACATTTTTTTTAATTTTCATAAATACTCTTTTATTTATTTAAAAATCATTACGATCTCATTATTCTTTTATATATGTGCCTTGTTGAGTTTTAATATATATATATATATATATATATATATATATATATATATATATATATATACTAAAAAATATAATGGTAAAAAGAATATTATTTTTTTTCCAATTTTGATATACTATTATTTTTATCAAAGTTTTAAAATATAAATTCATATTATTCCTTTTATCAACGTACTAAATTATATCTAATAGAAAAATAATCCTAAATTATCCAAAAAGAGTAATATAAAATTGTCACCTTTATATTTATTAATATGATATTGTAATTAAATAACTCTAAATTTTTAATCCTAAATCAACAAGTAATCCATATATTATCAATAACAAGAGACAAATATTTACCTAATATGTCACGTTAATGTCATATAGTTTCATGATCATGACCATTGTTGTAATTTATTGTTAGGACATTGTAGAAATAGAAAATATGGACTATTTTTAGAAAACAAAAAACACTAAATTGATAATAAAAAAAAAAGAATAAAATAAAATAAATACCATAAAACTAACTAAACTATTCAAGTTAAGAAGTGTAATTTGAGAAATGATTCCCAGGACGTAATTGTAACTTAATCTTAAATGTAGATTGTGCAGCAGACAAAAAGAATCATTCAACAATTTACTTTTTAAATTTTTATACATCTAAATATGATTATTTTAAGATTGTCTATGTTTATAAGAAGAGGTGATGAAAATATCCTTTTAGGTAGTAAATATGTGGTTGAGAAGGATAGGAAAAGATTACCGGAACTGTTCGCTAAGGGGCAACATCTGCTTGTGCTTTCTCAGAGTTTCATCGGCGACGTCATCCAAGTTGAACAACAAGGACGCATCAGAGGGCAATTCCAAGTGCCTCTTCCTCCAAGCCGCCACAAACACCATCGCAATCTGCGTCAGGGGACTCCCCACCAGTTTCTTGTACCGGTACCTCCTTGTCCCAGACAAGAACACCAGAAGTGCCACCAGGATGGCGCACACACTTATCCCATAACCCCAATACCTCCCAACGTGATCCTGAATGTACACAAGAACTGTCACTGCTGTCAGAGTCCCCAGGCTTATGAAGAACACGAACCAGTTGAAGAATTTTATCATCTGATTTTTCTCCCCTTTATCTGATTCATCGAACTGATCCGAGCCAAACCCTGACACGCTGGATTTCAAGCCACCAATGCCAAGGGCTGTGATGTACAGAGCTAGGTAGAGCACCAATAGCTGCATGCCGCTTGCAGGCTCGCAAGTTCTCATAGCAGATCTTACACATTTTGGAGGATGCAGGCTTGGGATTATGGTTGATATTGTCAATATTGCAACACCCTGAAAATAAGTTTTTTAAAGATCCAAAAATGAAATTAACCAAAAGCATATTAGAAGTGTTTCCTTCTCTTGGAGAGATTAATTCCTAGCTGATTTAGATCATTATGTTGGTAATATTTGAAGAATAATAAACATCGGGTAATATGAGACTACCTAATAATAAATAAACGGCTAAAGGCTCTGCATCCAACTAGATGCACAATAAGATGAAACAAAGTGGTCCATACTAAATGAACTGTTAAGCGTGGCAAATAATGTCTTACAGTTGCTTGAACGGTTGCGAAGATGGCAATAGTGAGATATCTGTCAATCAGAGAGTGAAGGCAATGAAAAATCTGACAACAATTCATAATCCGTATTACATATAATATTGGAAAGAACAAAGTTGTAAAGTTTATTGGAATAAAATAATTGCATCTTGCTTTGGCTTTGTGTTAACAGTAATAGACAAGCAAATGAATGGTCACAAACCTGCCGATAAAAGTGTCAGCTACAAAACCACCGAACAAACAGAGCATGAAAGAGGTTCCCATGAAGTTGGTGACTATGTTGGCAGAGTTAGCACTGCCCAAATGCATCGTACCCGTCAAATATGTCACCAAATTTACGGCAACACCCATTGTCGTTAACCTCTCACTTGCTTCCACTCCTGAAATATACCAAAGAGAAAACAACCTATGTAAATAGCAAGTAAGACCAGGCCTTTTCTTCCCACACATAATATGCATACAAAAGATCTATTCTTGCTTGAGAAAGCAAGTCTGAATGACATAATTATAATAAATGGTTGAGACTAGATTTCATTTAACTAAAATAATCATCAAGATTAAGTTCTAATGGTATTGGAGACCTAAAATCATGGCGGCAGAAACCCAACCACCAGTTTTAGACTTCTGGGCTGGATGGCCTTTGTAGTCGGAGGCATCTGGGATAGTTTTGTCGGATGTTTCAGAGAGAGTGTTCATCACCGGAAGAGATATGAATAGTGAACTAAAATGCTATTAATGAAGTAGGTGTGCATGCTACAACGGGGTTACCTTCTTTATATACTTTCTATATTTTAAAGTCATATTATTGTACCTATTTTAATATTTATACATGATTATAAACAATGTTACCAATATATTAATTCTTTAACAAACTTTTTGCACTGTTTTTAGAGAGATATGATATATTATCCTTCATACAGTATTATTTTTGAACTTTTTTTTTTAACTATAAAATTGGTCCATTATGTTTAATTTTTTTGTAAGTATTTTTTATATCCAACATTTAATAGATATATTAATTTGGTTATGAGCCTAACTGACTTTCGTATTAAAGTTATGAAATATAATATTTTAATTTAATGTTAAGTTGACATATAACAAGATAACAATTAATAATTATCTTACTTATATATTTGCTGGTATGTTAATATATAATACTATTATAATTAGTATGTGCCAATGAGATTAATTCAAAAAATTTAATCGTAGAAATATCAAAAACTTTTTTAAACTTATTATTTTCATGTCTATCTCTTTAGCTTCACAAGGAAATAGAAAAAAAATAAAATGATATATTATACGTTCCATAAATAATATATAAAAGAAAATTAGACACAACAGCATGTTATTGCATAAAATAGTATATTATTAATGTATAATATTCTTTTGCTATTTAATTAAAATTTTAAAATTGTGTTGACCCGTTTTATTTTGCAAGCTTCACTTAGGTAAGAGTGTGAAAAAAGAAAAGTTTTCACTATGATTATACGTATTTTATTCATTTTATATAATTATTTTTCAAGATAATTGTCAAAAGGGCAAAAATAAAAAATAATCATTTCTTAGATGAACCGACGGAGCAGCACATGAGTAGGATTTGTATTAAAATGATGACGAAGAATGTGACCAGTCATTTATAAGAACAAATGCAAATAGCTAGTCATGTGCCACAAGATAACATATATTAATGCTAATTTCATGTGGATAATGCTTATTCCATATGCACAGTCGTTAGAGGAACGTGCAACAATGTTAAAACCTTGGGCGAGAGTGTGTGTTTGTGTTTTGTTGGCAAACTATATACATATTATTGGGAACAATCCAACCAGCACAAGATACGCTAACATCGGAAAATATGGAGCAAAAGTACAACATATTATGATGACTATTTGCACAGTCCCTCCCAAATACACGAACATATCCAAGAAAGCCACAGAAATAAACCAAAACTTGTTTCTCTCCTGCACAGAGTGTGAATTAGGATTTGGTTCTTTTCCTTTCTATTTGGCTCATCAAATTGGCCAGACGTGTTGGATTGTCTTATTTACCTACTAACCTAACTTGAAAAAACTATTAGAATTTATTAAACTACTCAAATTTTAAAAGATATGTCATGTCACTACTAAAATACCATTTTATAAGAATAGTTTCAAGAATACCCGTATGTATAGCGACCAATCTTTCTCCGTTATGTAATAGCTATTAATATTTTTCCAGTCTCAGAGTTTCACGGAAAAAAATCAAATTAATCAGAAATGGGATAGGATAGGTTCGAGTTTTTCGGATTTTAAGAAGACAACTATATGGATATAAATAAAGGTCAAAATCATATTATGACATAAAGCTTCACATATATGTTAGAGTTGACATTAGAATCTTCAATTTCAGTTTTTCAACTTTCAGACCTCAGCCAGGTACTTTTCTTTTATTTTGAAAAGATGTCTTTAAAATTACACAGTACAAGTTAATAACATCCAAATCATATTAAATAGTTTCTAAGTCTAAAATAGTCCCAAAGATTATAATTCTAATCACGAAGCAAGAGTTATACTACCACGTTTGTAATAAAACTGTTCCACTTTAAGATCACACTCCCAAGCCACCAACTCTAGGCATAAGAACGGGTCGGGTGCGGATTTTACCTTCCATATTCTTGTTTTTTATTTTTATTTTTATTTTTTCCGTTCTCGTTTTCCATTTTTTATGAGATTGAAAATTAAGTCTCTATTTTTTTCTTTATTAGGTTTCAGATTTTCTCACTTCAATCCTGTTTCTTCCCTATTTTTGATCTATATTATTTTTTAAAAATTAATTATATTTATAATAAATTAATTTTATTATTTTTATACATAAATAAATATTTATAATTTTATAATTTATAATTATTATTAATTATATATATATAATTTTTTTTATTTATTATGATTATATTAAAATATATAATATTTAATTATTTTTTATTTATATATATAATATTTATATTATTATTATTATATATTCAAATATTTAAATATTTATAATAATATTATTATTATTATACTTGTAAATTAATTTATTGTTAATTTGTCAAATATATAGTTTATAAAGAAATATTTAATAAATTAATTATTATTTAATTAGTTTGAAGTAATAAAAATTTCAATTATTAAATTTTTTAATTATTTAAAATATAATTATTTTATTAAGATAAAATTTAATATATATGACAAATAGGAAGGATAAGATCAAAAATATATGATATAATAAAATTTAATAAATATAAATTATAAATAAAGTAATATGAGTTACTATTAAGATTTATGTAAAATATTTAGAAAAAAATAAAGAAGAAAAAAAATAACTTTGTGCTTATCAAATTAGTTGAAAATATTACAAAAAAAAATTGATTAGAAAAATTAAGAAAATATGAAAAACTGGAAGGGAAAAGAAAGAGAATAATGTAATAAACTAATTAATATAAAAGATTAAAAAAGACAAAGGAATTTAAAATAGGTAGAAGAAAAGTAAAAATAGTGAAATATAAAATAATAACCTTATATTTAATGTAAAAAGAAAATAAAATATTTTAAAATATTAATATTTTAAAATTTAAATTTAAATATAAAATTGAGAAGGGGATAAATACAGGATAGAAATTATATTATCCATTCCCACTCTCAACTATATATGAATAGAGATTATATTTTATTTAAAATTAAAATAAAAAATAAAAATCTTACCCATCTAAAATTCAAATCGAAAATGTATTAAAAATAATAAAAATCAATATTGAATTATTTTAATTATTTAGATTAAAAAAATTAATAATTTTCTATTAAATAATAAGAATCCACCCAAATAAAAATAATTTGAAATTAATATATACATATATATAATTAAAATATAAGATGATAGTTTTTGAAAGAGCCAATTAATTAGTTTCTTATAATTTATATAAATATTATTACTTTTAAAATTGAACGTGAAAGTATATCAAATTAAATTAAAATTAACAATATTATAATTAATTAGATATTATATTTTTATAGTAATTTTTTTATTGATCAATTAATTTATTATAATATATTTAATTTTTTTATAATAAAATAGTCATAGAAATCATTAAACTAAATTATGAAATATTGGTTTAAGGTGATTAGATTTTTTTTTAAATAAAATCAAACAAATCCGTATTTAAATTTTAAGTTTTATTTGAATGATTTTTCAATACAAAATCGAATAAAACCATATCACAAACACTTGTTTAGATGAGATTATTTATTAATTAAAAGTAACTGATATAAAAAATATTTTTTTAATACTTATACTTTAAGGGAATATAACTATTACTGATGTCTCTTAAACTATGAAAATTGAGATAACTTAATCCCAAATTAATGAAATACAACATTCAAATATTCTTTCACTTTTAATCAAGTTCAGTGTTTTTTTTTCTATTAAGAAAGTTGATTATTAATATATTTACATAAACATCCATCATAAAAATTGATGTCATCATTTATTAATATTTAAGATTTAAAATATTTATTCAAATTGACACTTTTTTTATTGAGAAAAAAGTTACATTGTGTGTGGTGAGTTTTAGAAGGGTATTTGTAAATGAATATGGTGTAGTAAGTGAGCATTAAATAAGATTTTTAATAAGAGATACTACATTTTGACAATTAGAATAATACAGATATAGGGATATATAAGAGTTGAATAGTACGTAATTGCAATTTATTATGTTACTTAATGGTGTGACAAATGTATATCATTAAGAATTCAATATTTAGTTTTTAGAATTTATTAAATGTATATATTGATATAGTCAAAACATTAAATTACCTATAGGGATAAAGAGAAGGGTTGCACATACCTCTTAATTCTCCGTTAAGAAGGTTTTCTAATACTCATAAAAAATTATCATAATTTAAGATTAGAGGTTAATTATAATTTATATATACTTACATCTTTTAATTTATAATACACTAAGAAAATTTGATAAAAAAATTAAAAATTTAAAGCTAATAATATTTTTAAAATTATGATGATTTAATAATAATAATAATAATAATAATAATAATAATAATTTTAATAGACTTAAAAATTTAAATATAATAGTTATAAAAAAATTAGGTGTTGGATTTTCAGTAAATCGAATTTCAACTTTAAATTTATCATTTTTTTTAAATAAAATAGATAATTAAAAATTATAAAATTAATATTAAAAATAAAATTTTAATTTTAAATTTTAAATAATATTTATATAAAAAATAATAAAAATAATATATTATTTAAATATATATTAAATTATTTAAATATATTTAAATAATTATTAAAAATATTAAATAATAAATTTTTATTATATTTTTTATATATTTTTTTTATTTTTGAATAGGAAATTTAAAATTTATATATTTTTTTACTATATGAATTATTTAAGTTATAATTTTAGAAAAAAATAGAATAAATAAAAATTTAATTTAGGTAATATATTAAAAAATTAAATATTATATTATAAAAATTTATGTAATAGTTTTTATTTGATAAATTATAAATATTATATTAAAAAATTCATGCTAAAATTATTTTTTTTAAATAATAAAGTAAAAATATTATTTAATTAGTTCGAAATTATTATTATTAATATAAAATAAACTTAAAAATAAAAAATGATAAAAATTGACAGAATTTAATGTATAATATTAAAAATA